CACCACAGCTTAAGCCCTGGTTCCTCTCCACCCATCGCCAGATTCTTCCTCCATCACAGTGAGTTGCTGTTGTATTTTCTGGTCTTTGGTACTTTCTAACTCCTCTGCCCAGGACTCCCTACAACAGACCAGCTTCAAGCTTCAACCCACCCGAACCGCTGTCCCAGAAACAGACTTTTAAACGTGTTCCCTTTATTATGCACCGCATGGAGTATCACTGGACTGGTCTTCACACATGAGAAGACAGAGAGAGTAATAGAGATTCTGTCTATGGCGAGGTAACGGTTCATCCCTCTCTAGGGATGAGTCGTATTCTACCTGTATACAACCCTATTAAACAGTATTCTGCTCCGTGCAAACTGACCACTTTCACGGCTGATTTAACGCCAATCCAACTGTGGAGCGAACTCAGGAAAAAGCCCTTTGTAGGGAGCTTTTAGTGTTTGACACTGAAGAAAACATCTCTGGGAGCCTATGACATCAAGCTTTGCCTTCCAATCGATGGATGTAATGTGGATAAGAAAATAAATTAATAGCCTTTCAACCTGAATTGAAGTGAAAAAAGTCTGTCTGTGGGAACATTATCACAATCTGCATTAAGTACCCTGTTGCACTATCCTACTGGTTCTGATCATGTATTGATAATATCAAGATATTAGTTATAAAGCTTTTTTTGTTATTTTCATGTTTTAATGATTCGTTTCATAATTTACTGTCATGAATGGTCAACTTTCCTTTGCTGTATTTAACACCGTTTGCACAAAGCTTTTTTCCCAAACGGGCGGTAAAATGTCGATTCATTCATAGTGAGAGAGACTTGAAACAGCTGGATGCCACAGCTTATTTCCAAGTGTCTGTCCGCTAAGCCAATGGAACATTATCTCCCCTATAAGTTACAAAGTCAACGGAGCTGAGAGGGTCTTTGGGACGGTGGACAGAGAGAAGAGGAGGAAAGAGAAAGAGAGAATTACAGCTGATGTCTTCTCTCTAACTTTGTTGGAGGGAAACTATATCTGTATGTGGCGTGTAGTAGTGATCAGAGTAAAGCGTCATGTGGACACAAAATCATGGACAACTTGAAACGACCTTTTTACCAGTGAAGCAGATCAGAAGGAGACACTGTGAGGTTACTGTGTAGCAGGAAAACCCAAGATGTGTGGCCATGGAAAACTCGCTTCACTGCTACACATCTGATCAAATTAGTTGCTTAAAAACACAAAAGCAAAATCATTTCCTTTCTGCCTACCTGTAGTAAGTTTATTTTTATTTGCATTTATTATACTATGTATTTATATATTATTTGTCTAGTTTTCACATGACCCTGTGGTCCATTAGTTTCATGGTCTTGTGCAATGAAAATTGTTCAGTTGTTTTTGCCCTTGAACAAAATAAAAGTAGAGGTTCATTCACTATGGATACATTTTTTAAAAATACAATTAGAAAGAATGCTGACGACAAAAGGAATTCTAGCCGACAACATTACAAATTCGACAGCAAGAAAATACTGTCTTGACGCCACAATAAAGCATGGCGTCATCCCGCTGACCGGTTAGCCTGAATTATCTCTGCAATCGGACCTCAGCGGGAAAAAATGTGCTCCAGTATCAGGAAGAGACGCTTGAATACGTTGAGATGCGCTCAATTAAGGTGCTAATGGTATATTTGTCATTTTTGTATCACAGAATAATGTTTTGATAATAATGAGATTGTTTCTTTCATGAATGTGTTTTCATGTGTTCATGAAACGTAGTCTTTGTGGCAAACAAAGGCATAAAACCGGGTACGAGCCGGTCCACTGCAGTATGTTGAAGTCCCTTCTTTGACCAAAGTGTCCTGGCGGGTGTGAACGTAGAGAAACTCCATCTGAACTCAGATGAAGCTCATGGAAAGGAGCTTCGGCAGTGTGTCTGCTACGTCTAAGGGATGATAAAATAAAGTCAGATCCACACATCATACATATCCCACCGGTTTTTCCCTGCATCGGTCTCCAGTTTCCCATCACACACCTCACTACCCCAGATGTACCCCCACTCATTGCCAGATTGTCAATCCAAGTCAAAGCACTAAGGCTACAGCCCACAAACTCACCCAAATGAATTGTTTCACCTGTGATTTACCTGAGTCCCCAGACCCACTCTCTCCCCAGGATCTCCAGGTACCAGCCTGACTTCTTTCATCCTTTGTACTTCTTTGAGACCCCCACCAGACCGTTGCCCGGCACCCCTCTAACACCACACAAACCCCCATCCAACCTTGATGGTAAATACTCAAAGAAAATGTCATGTGTGTCACTAGTGGACTCAAGAACAGAATTAAAAAGTTCCATTTTTATGGAAATCTGATCATGGAGGCACAGGTGCGCCATGGAAGTGAGTGGAAAGAACACGAAAGTCAGACATTCCCACTGAGAGAGCCCGAATAAACCAAACAAAAAGAGAAAAAGATTTTCTAAAATTAAAAGTACATTTCCAAAAAAACATGTGTCTTTTCTTTGTTCTTTTACTGTTTTTCTGATAAACCTCAAGCTGTCATTAAAAACGCTGGATCCCAGCTTTTTAATTATACGGCTTAGTGATTAGGCTGCAGCAATTTCATCTTGCTTATTTAACTGATAAAGGAATTGGAAGGAACACTTCACCCTCCCATGTGCATTTCACATAAACACAGGCATTTCACCGTTTGGACAAGCATCATCTAAACCACCTCCTCCTCTCAAAAGTTCTCTTTTTTTCTAAATATCATTAGTCATCCTCAGTTGCATTAACTGTATTATGCTTTTACAATACATTAAAAACTGTTGGACCTGGTCCCCCTTTAGGACGCAGAGCCGAGGTCCAACCCGATTATTCCTCCACAAAAGAGATACTCGATACAAAATATATATATATATATATATATATATATATATATATATATATATATATATATATAACCTCACTGCTAACCTGCTAACCTCATATATAACCTCAATAAGCTGTGATATGAATTAGCTTCCCAGGCGCCAGACACATTTTATTTGGTGGAAAATAGGACAACAGACAATAGTCCTTTATAAACCAACAGCAGGATTTTAAAGTCACTTCCTTGGACAGGAAGCTGGTGTAAAGACCTGAGAACCGGAGTGATGTGTCCATGTAAATCCCACACTTGCTTTTTTAATGCAAGTCTAGCTGACATTACGGCTACGGCGGGGGAGGGGGGACAATACCGCCGATACAGCCAACGGCGGGGGGGCACTAGCATGACGCTGACATGGTGCTAGCTAGCATTGCACTAATAACAACAGGACCCAACTGCTGACAAATGGCTAAAACGGCGAGTAAAATGGGTCATGTCTTTAGTTTGCTAGCTAGCCTTTGTGGCTAGTCTTCACTTGCCTGCTTGACCGTTTCATGCACAAACATCTGCGGGCAGTCTACGCCACACTCTTAAAAACACTGCGGAATTTTCTAGTTATGTCACAGTTTGGGTTTATTTTCTGTCTTATTTTGTAGTTTTCTGCCTCTTGTCTGGGTAACTTCACTTCCTGACTTGTCCTGTCATCCCCTGTGATTGTCTGATTGTTTCCACCTGTGTCCACCTGCACCTCCCTACTGTATTTAAGCCGTGTGTGTCTCTTATCACTTGTCGCGTCATTGTTGATTGTTCTGGATGTTCCTGCCTGCATTTTTGAGTCTTGCCTTCCACGCACCTCCTGATAGAATGACGCGACCACAAAGGGACTCCGCAGACCCGCTGCCAGATTACGGACCTGACTATTTGGACATAAGAAGTCCCTTCTGGCAGCGAAGGACTAACTTTATTTTCGGTCCTAGGAGCTATCAGAGAGCTTTTCTCGAGCTCCAGGACCTCCTAAATCCCAGGAGGATGAGTCCAGGCAAGCGGAAGCAGCGATCTTCCGTTCCCGCTGGGCTGCAGCGATCTCCTGATCCGGTTCCCCGCCACGGACAGTTCCGGCTCGATCGTTTCGTCTATTTAAAAGGATTTCCCTGATCTGGTTCTACTCTGTGCTTAAATACAGCTGCAGGTGAAGGGACATCTAGGATCACACCTGGGATCACACCTGGGACCACACCTGGGATCACACCTGGGACCACACCTGGGATCACACCTGGGACCACACATGGGACCACACCTGGCACAGCAGCTAGTCAGTGTGTTTACATGATGGTATAATTTGAATCTTTGATTAGTCGGACTATGCTATCTTTCGGGACAAGTGCTATTATCCCAATATACATGACAGTGAATAAATCGAATCATTGGCCGAAAGCATGTCATATCCGATACGATAGGTGGCGCTGTTTTTATTACAACTGGTTGTGATTCAGCCATTTCCGCTTGACCGCTTCACCACTACCAACAACAACAACATAAACATTACGAGAAAGATGGCGAACGGAGACCAAGGTGAAGCTACATCCCTCTACTATGTGTGCATGATGTTAACAGGAGCACAGCGAATGCGAATGCCGCTATTGGCTGATTTGATAACGGAGAGAAGACGCCGTCGGGATCTCAAGCATGCGCAAAGACGCAAAGTCCAGTTCCTCATCCGATTCACCGTTACATGCAGCAATAGTCGAACTATCAACTGGATCGGATGGAGTCATCCAGGGGTGTTAGTCGGATCGTAGTCGGACCGCACGTAGTCGGACAGAGGTGTTTACATGAAACGGATCATTCGACTTCAGTCCGACTAAGCCAGTTATTGGAATCCATGTAACCACACTGAGTGAAACACAGACCCAAGACACAAACATGCAGCAGGTAAGTCTAATCTTTTATTTCACTTTACACTTAAAAGCTTACAAAACAATGATTTATTTACACCCAATGCCGATTTCAAATGTTTGAATAATTATTTACTCCATTAAACACCACTGTTATTGTTAAAAGAAAAAAAAATGATTTAGATGTATTTACTGCCTGTCGTATTATGACTCAAAATCGGTGATTAATCTCAACATATGAACAAGAGAAAGAAATCAGTCATTGTATCGCCATAATGTATCTGTATTAAAAGATGAACATCAATTGTATGTATTTGCCTTCAGGTGAAGGAGCAACAGACACAACCTGCCCCGATTGACACTTTATCCCCCACAAGGTCTGATATCCATGAGTCCATCAGGGGAGAACCGGTTGATCCTGCTGACTGGCCAACCCTGTCTGACAGTGAGGACTGAATAAGTCAGTAGAGGACCATATCATACCGCAGATTTCACCTTTCCCAACCAACCGTATTTTTACCGACAGTGAAAAGAGAATAAATTATGAGACGCTGGTTGTCAAAAAATACTCTTTACTGCTTCTCAATGAAAAGCTTTAACCTGATCAGCAGTGGACTTAATGGCTGGAAAAACTGCGGCAAAATCCTAAAAGGTCATGAGAATTGTCCAAAACATTTGCAGCAAGATTGTTTATATTTATTGTTTATTGCATTTTTGCACTCATAGCACATCGCTATAGGGCAGCCAATGGCCTAGACCAGGCCCTGCGTGCAGGCAAAGCAAAGATCTTTATTTTTACAAAAATTACCGAATATATAATCCACGTTTCAAAAACAAATATTTTTTCTGGCACTCATGATGGGCCACGCCCATTTCCCTCTATGGACCAGCTGCGACTGGTTCACACCAAACGCGTGTGAATGTTTGCGACAAAGTCCATGCAAATTCAGTCAAACTCGTGAAAAGGTGAAATATTTCGACGTTGCGGCGTGACAGCATATCCGCGTTAAGATGCTCAGCATTGTCACTGGCGTCCCGCAGACAGTTGCTGAATCAGAAAAAATGGAGAATAAATGAATAGTAACGTCAGCGGTGTGTGGGTACCCATAGCTGTATGATGCATCCTCGTACCGATACCGCGACCAGTCCACGAAAGATCTGGCACTTTTAACAAAAAGCGGACAGCCCTATGTGCCTTTTTTATTTTGTACCCAAACATGGCGAGGTTTAGTGGTCTGACGTAAGGACTTGCGCAAGAGGTCCAGCTCATTATTATACACTATATGCCTGTTATTATAATCTGTGTACATTGGTATATTGCTATGCTAAGCCCTTAAGAGGGTTAGACAGGCACTCTGGTATTGACTGGGATTAAAGTGCTATTACACTAGTGAATCACTGTAATGAGAAGATGGGGTCAGCCAATTCTGCGGGAATTGTAATGTCTTGGGACATAAAGTCCTTATCTGTCTGTTTACAAAGGTGCAGGCGAAAGCTACAAGTTAGCGTCATCAGCAGCAATCCTCGTCCCGGCAGATTGAGATAGCGTCCGTCGTACTGTGTGCTGGAGCCCAGTGACGTTTAGCTGCACGTCGGGCTATTTTGTGATAAGGCCACCGGTATCTGATGGAGCTTTACATGGTCTGCTCATTCGTAGCAATTCTAAAGACGCCTCATTATTCTTGCGTTGGTTGGTGGACAGTTGTCACGTACGCCGAAGTCTCGCTCCGCTGGTTGTCGTAGTATTTTAGGTTCGTAGTACTTTAGGCTGGCAGTACTTGAGGCGTGTAGTACCCTGGCGAAAAGATACTTCCGGTTTGCAGTGGTTACAAATAGCTTTGCGTTTATCGACTACTCCGTGTGGTAGAGATTTCAAATGAAAACGTCCATTTCAAAGAACAGCAACTTTCTCCGTTTTCTCAGTGTTGAGACCCCCCCAATGCAAAAACAAAATAATAAACATAATATAAGCATAATAAAACCATTGTTGGTGTCAATGGATTGCTACATTAGGGTGCCCAAATAAAACCCATATATATTTAGTAGTTTTGGTTAAGAATAGAATTGTGTTACGAACCTGTTAAAAGTTGGGATTGAATATAACAAACAAACTTATTTTTACTCAGAGAATTTTAGGTCTATTCACATTTTTAATTTTCAACAAAACAAAGTCATTGTTTTTGAGAAGTGATGGAAAAATGAAGTATGACGTATTCTTTAGTTCCTCAAAGCACATTTCATATCTGACCCACAAAACAAACATAAGTATCCCAAGAGCTCCACATTTCAATTATGTTTCACTGCAAATTAAAAATATCTTTTAGAATCCAGACCACAACATATTCAGAGCTTTTAAGGGTACACTATACACGTTTCATGCACAAATTCTTTTCACATACACCATTATAATGTTGCACATTTTGCCGCTGTAGGACACCACGTTGCTACTTCCTGCCTTAGTGACAAACCTCAACACGGCTCACAAGTAGCCAGAACTCATAACACATGATACTCCCAACGAGTGGAGTGAGACGTTCTTCACAGCACCACTTCCCACAGTGATCGCTATGATTGAATAAATGAAGTATGTGGCAAACTGGGTAGTTCATTTGTGAGCTACGACAGGAGTCCGTTGGCTTATTGTGTGTTTGCTCTTTTCATAAATGGGAGTAAATTTAGTCACGTCCGCCTCAGACCGATCCAGCCATTAAGACTATCGTGACGTAACACTGCTGACAAAGAGTCATTTAGAGCGAGATCTCCAACCTCGGGACCCCCTGCTTTACTCTGGATGTTTTTTGAATAATAGACTTCAGTGCTTGGTATGAATATGTGAATTGTGATCACACCCAGACGTGTTGCAACACTCAATGCAGACGTTGGGTTCTTGCTTCTGATTGCTGCTATTTCAGGGGAAAATATTTGATACATTGTTCATTATTATAAACTTTTGCTAACATCAATATTCCTTCCGACCTCATCTACTGGCATTAAAACAGGAAGTTAGTGGAAAAGTAGTCGAACGCGCCACGTACTGGATTTAATTGGTTGACTTTGCCGACGGGTGCAGCTCTGCACCTGGCGCTGAGGAGCTGCCTGTAAGACGCATGAAGCGTTGGTTCCAGGTGCACTGGTCCACACTTAGTATATTAAGTATATTAACTCTGGACGCAACTACTTCTTTTCAGCTTTGGTTTGTGTGCATCATTTACCAGCAAAGCTACAGTTTATTTTCATTCGAATCCACCTGCTGAGCTCTGAAGAAGAAAGCTGAGAAGCTTGTGATCTGTGCGCTGATGCTCAGGACGCAGGACGCCTGTCACATGGCGGGCGGGAACAGGCGGCCCCTCGCGCTCGACTGCAGCGCTCGGCCGACGCCGCCGCTGCAAACTTTTGCTTCCCCGTGTCCGTCGTTGTCCTCCTCTTCATCGGCGGCGGTCGCGTTGGCGTTGACGTCCGAATCCAGATCGGCGCCGTTAGGTGCGGGACAGTCTGCGGAATACTCGATCTGCTCGACGCACGGGGGCTCGTCGTCCTCGAAGCAGCTGCAGGGGGAGAGCAGAGCGATGTTGGCTTCAGTGACGCTCACCGAGCTCCAACAGGCATCCAAGAGGATGAATATTCATTTCATTCGTCTTTCTTTGGTGTCATTTCATTTAGAGTTGTCATACAACACTTACTCATAGACTCACTTCACACATCTTGTTACTCGTGTATTGTGCGTCATGGCGCCCTGTAACTGTCAGACGGGTATTTAGCGCCGAGTTGCTGCTGGTTACAGTGTTCTGACGTTGTCGGGGATTTCCCCTCACACATCAATCATCAACACACAAACCTTTGAACTGCTGACTGAGAAATAATCAGTGACGGTCAAACACATCTTCAGTAGTTTATTTAATAAAAGGGGAGAATAAAAATAACCTCTTTTTGTTAGATTCTGAAGCGGTACGTCAATGTATGATTGACAGCTGAAGGCTGAAAACCGAACTTCACCAAAAGTGCCTTTAGGGAACTCGGTGTTCATCCTTCACAAACCAAATCTGCCCAGTGGCAGAAGAAGGCGTCACAGCAGTCGGACCCCCGAAGCATCGCTGGGGGACACCTGGACACCTGGGACACAGGGCGCTGAGGCTCCTCCCCCTCACACCGGGCGACCTTGAGCTCGGATACGGTCGCTGGGATTGGCGGCTGACAGAAAGTCAGCTGTAACCCGATTACAGACACACACACACACACACACACACACACACACACTCACACTCATGAGAGGCTGAGTGTGGGCGGGACATGTAGAGAGACACTGGGACTGTTTGGACAGAGAGGATGTGACACGCATACTTATCTCCCCCTTGTGTGGCAGAGAGAGAGACGGACGGGAAAGCGATTGTACATCCAGCATACTGATGTGTGTGTGTGTGTGTGTGTGTGTGTGTTGTGAATGGCAATGAAGCATCTTGTCTCCAGTGTGAGTCAGTACAGCGAGTGTGTATCGCAGGCTTTGTTTACTCTGATTTATTGGATAGAACTGCTATTTTTCTCATCAGGAAATTCATCCTGTGAGCTGATATTAGACACAAGAGTGTGTTGAAGAGTCGCCGGGAGGACAGAGCGGTTCAATGGAGCAGTTCCCTCTTTGCCAATGAAGCCAGGGACAAATGTGTTTGAGGAACTCTTAGTTGTGAGGTCAGTTTGTCCTCAGTTGCGTGTCATGTTTGAACACTTCCTGCATACACTTTCTGTTTGAAATAAACTTCACAGGAAACGATTTGGTTTGTTATGTAGTAGATTTTTTATAGTAAAATATTAAGCAAATATTGACCAAAACTTCAGAGTAATTCCACGGAATATAAGCAGTGAGTGGATGTAAGGGATCATACAGACTTGTGCAGAACACTGGTTGTGTGTAACTCTGGTAATTAATAAAATGTGAAATGTACTGCCAATCGCTTGCTAGCTGTCACACCATAAATATCCGTGTCGGGGAAAGGTCACTTCCTGTTAGGATCACAATCCGACTCGGCGGTGACAGCGAGGGCAACACGAATTGGTAATATCCATGTGATCATTGTGGATACGTCTTATTGTCTTAGAGGGTAATTATTATTGTGACCTTCTTCAGGTCCAAATGGACCAACCTTCCAGTACTGTGGAGACGTGGTAGGACAAGGACACTAAAAACATTTCCAAGGACCTCAAAATGCAATATATACTTTTTTCCATATTTTTCTTTCCTCGTGTGATGAACCGGATGAACTTAAGACTAATCGAATTGTTTTATTTATGGATACAGTCTATAAATGCACCACAAGAAGAACAAAGAAAATATCAAGTAATGGTTACATGTGCTACGTGAGAACCACAACTAAGTGCGTCAGGATTCCGATGTCCAGTGGAAACACTTCCGTCCCCTGAGGTGACTCCGCCCCCTCCTGAGGAAACACTTCCGTCCCCTGACGTGACTCCGCCCCCCTCCTGAGGAAACACTTCCGTCCCCTGACGTGACTCCGCCCCCTCCTGAGGAAACACTTCCGTCCCCTGACGTGACTCCGCCCCCCTCCTGAGAGCAGCGCCACCTGAGAGACGTCAGGCAACCAGTGGGCTAGACAAAGGCTCCCTGAGCCAGTGCTCTCGGTTCTCTTCTAGCTGAGAACAAGCAGACCTTCTGTGTGTGGTGTCTGAGTATCTGTGGGAATAGTAGTCTGGGGTCTCAAACTCACTTCGGGTGCGGGCCAGACGCAGTCCACTTCGACCCAATGCGAGCCTGACCCTGACGGTCGCGCGGTGGCGCAGAAGGTCTGAATGATACTGCTGTTGGGGTGCGTACGGTACGGTCGACGCTGACTGTCCGAACGGTACGGGGGGGGGGGGGCGCTGACTGTATGCCAAAGTCGGTACCCCCCCATGTGCACCCGTAGGCATGACAGTTTTTCTAAACATACTGTATATACACACCTAATAATATATATTAGGGTTTTAGGTAACAAATAGAATACAAAAGCATGGATTTGTCAGAGACGTCGTTTCAGTTTTTAAAATGAACTCTTTACTCTTATCTGAAGTAAACTTCAAACAAGAAGTTCCTTGATTAGCCTTTAGCAACCACACTACTCTGTTTGGAACAAACTACCATTATTTGGAGCAGGAAAAGGAACTAAAAGTGTGCTGCTTGGCCAGAGGCACTAAGGCGTGATGATGCAGTGGGACCTGCTCAGCGATCAACAGCCTCAGAGTCTCATTACAGTGGACAGCTTTAGAAACAGCATGTGGAATACAACAGAAACACACGTTGTTTCAAGTCCGGTTCAGCAGTTGACTATTGGAGCGCTCTAATCGCAGCGCTAAGATCCAGTGGGTTCATTGGGAGAGACAATAGGGGAAGCAACACAGAGGGCCGCGAGAGACAAGAGAGGAAAAAATAAGATAAGAACAGAGACAGACGGACAAGAGGACCAGAAAGTCTGGGTGTTGTGTGCGAGAGAGCACAGGAGGGGAAGACACTGGGGCCTCCACACCACGTCTCTGCTCAGGCTTACTAAATATCTTTTATATCTCTGGGTCCATTTCTACCAGAAAAAGAAACCGTTTCTCAGCTCGACTGCCAAGAGTTGGTCGGCTAAAAACAGCAGAGAAAGTTGCTGCAGAGGAGACGATGGTGATGTCGGTCCGGAGGTGACGGATAATGATCGAACCCTGTGTGACCTCCGTCAGGTTCTTGCACTTACGAATTTACAATCAAGGGATTGGTCTCAATTGGACGGCTCCCTGTACTGTAATACAGGATACAATTAGTTTACATTTAGAATCATTTTGACCATAAAGTAAAGTATGCTCATGGGTTGGCCATGAACGGCGTCCCTACCTCCACAGTCCAAATATGGTCACCGCCGGTTTCCAAACAAGATAGTGACGGCAAAAGTGTAAGATGTCAATGGCAAGAATGCCAAACTCAAGGCATCAAAACTATCGTCCAAAAACCAATGGTTAACGTCACAACGACTACTTATATGTTATACTTTAACATGTTATATACAGTCTGCTGTAGGGCTGCAACTAACTATTATTTTGATAATCGATTAATTGGTCTATTATTTCTTGGATTAATCAATGAATCGGATAAAAAAACAGCATTAAAAAGCTTTAAGTTCCAACCCTTTAATCTAAAACAGAACTGCAAATTCACATTGCAAAAATACTTCAAAAAGTTCAGAGATTTAGAAAGAAAACACAAATCAGAAAGTTTAACAGGATTTGTTTTAACGTCACAACTTGTTCTCTATACTACATACATACATACATACTTCATACTACATACATACATACATTCATACATCAGGACCTGCGCGAAAACTATGAATTTCACCCTCCTGCTCTCTGCACATCCAAAGCAACTCTTCAGCGGACGGAGTGGTGAGTGAACAGAGCGTGAGGTGGATTGTTTAAAAGTGTTTTCTATCTGTTATTTCGTTTATTTTCGGTGTGTTTCTGGTGTGTGTTGTGGTGTGAATGCATGGTGGTGTGTAGGTGTGACTTTCTTTCTATGTGAGTTTGTGCGTGTTTGTAGCCGATCGGCGTGCTTCATGTCGGACCTCACGGGGCTGACGCGAAGCACGGCGTGAAGCTTGCGCTGTGCTGGCCGTGGGGAGGTTGGTGGGTCACGGAAGCGTTAAGTCCGCCGCGTGGATGAACCGTGCGGTGGTCATTTTTGTGGATAGCGTGGAGAAGGCGCGCAAGGTGGTGGCGAGCGGCGTGGTGGTCCGCGGGGCGCACGTGCCCGTTCTGCCGCTCGCAGTGCCGCTGTCAGGGTGACGGTAGCGAACGTTCCGCCGTTGAGTGCTGCTCGAGGAGCTGGTTAAACACGGGAAGGTGGTGTCCCTGTTTAAAAAACTATCCTCAGGGTGCAAGTCACCTTTATTGAGGCATGTGGTCTCTCATAGGAGGCAACTCCACATGGTCCTCACCAAACCCCAGGCCCTCAGGCTGGTGATTAAGGTGGGCATCGAGGGGTTTGATTACGCCATGTTCGCCACATCGGACGATGGGAGGTGTTTCCGTTGCGGTGGTAAGGGACACCTGGCGAGGGGTTGCCCGGAGAGGAACCCCTCGTCCGCTCCGCTGGATGTGAGGGCAAGTGTGGGATTGGGTGAGGGCCAGACGGGCAACCAAGTGTGGGATTGGGTGAGGGCCAGCCGGTCGGTCAGGTGGGTGAGGGGGTGACTATGAGGACGGGTGAGGGGGTGAGTGTGGGTTTGGGTGAGAGCCAACCGGTCGGTCAGGTGGGTGAGGGGGTGAGTGTGGGATTGGGTGAGAGCCAGCTGGTCGGTCAGGTGGGTGAGGGGTCTGAGGGGATGAATGTCGGAGTGGATGGGGGGTTGAATGCAGCCCAGCGGGCAGGTGTGTGTGACAGGGTGAAAGAGGGGATGGGGGCACTCGGTAGTGGGGGAGCTGTTCGAGGTGGAACCTTGGACAGTGAGGAAGATATGGAAGAGGGGGGGATGGGCTTTAAGGCCCCCCTGCCGAAGACGAGGGCCAACAGGGGAGGCTCTTGGGCAAAGTGGGGGGGGGCGCAGAGGGGAGGTGGGAGGTGGGGAGTCAGAGTCCTCTTCAGGGTGGGCCTCTAACAACAGCGTCTCCTCAGGGGGGACGGTCACCAGCAGGCACGGGGTGGGGCAGATGAAATCGTTCCTGCTGGCCACCAAGAACCAGAGAGGAGTGGAGCTGGAGGACTACTTCTCCGACTTGGAGAAGTTCGCTCGCTCCGTTCGACACGGCTGCACGAAGAAGGGTGCTGCAGACTACACCCAGCGGGAGGTCTTCCCACTACGGAAGATCAACCTCAAGATCACCAGGGAAGGAGGAAATGGGGCTGAGTGAGGCGTCCGACCGGCGGAGGAGGATCCTGAGCGGGAAGACGGGCCAATGAAGGAGATGCTGGAGAACGGCCAGTCCAGATCGACTGATTTACTATAGTGCCTAATTACCGAAATAGTTTTTATGTAAAATAAAGGTTTTCTAAAAATAAAAATAAAAATCTCTCTCCCTCTCACTCGCTCGCACAAAATACAAGACAACAAATTGAAAATGAATGGTTCCCAAGAGGCGAGTAAATAAAAACGTGTCTTAGTCCTGCTAACTGCTTTACTGCTGTTATTAGCGAGCTAACGCTAGCTTGATCAGCTGGATGACGAGTAAACAGGAGGCTCGACAACGTGATGCTCCCGTGCAAAGTTACGTCGACTTTGCATATTTTGCCATTGACACTCAAAATCGGACTTCGGTTCCTCTCCAACCCCCCCGACGCTCGCACACATTGGCCGGCGTCATGTGCCTCACAACGCTGCTGGATGCTCTTTCCTCTACGTCAACTCGGCGGTGAGCCGGAGCTGTTTCCGCGCACAGCGCCGCAACTCGCAGAGTGACGTGATGGTAATAATCGCACGACACGACGAATCGATAATAAAATTCGTTGCCAACGCTTTTAATAATGTCATTTTATGGATTTCATTGATTCGTTGTTGCAGCCCGTGTCCAAGAAACTGTTAGTCAGGTCATCTCGGGGTCGTCGGGGTCACGGGGTCGTCGTGGCGCAGGGGTTAGAGAAGGTGTGCTGGGAAGCAAAAGGTTGGTGGTTCGATTCCAGGCTGCCCCATGATCCATGTCGCCTGACCCCTAATTGCTCCCCGGGCAAAAATGTGAAAAATCCATGGGTTTAAAGTGTGATGTAAGTCGCTTTGGATAAAAGCGTCTGCTAAATGACCTGTAATGTAATGTCTCGTGATTTACTGTTTTATTTTGAAAATGAACCTTCTCCGGCAACCGCCCAGATGTTTTCCACCATGTTGTCTGCGTCTCCCTTTGTCCTGTCCCAGTTCGTCTTGTCCCAAGTCATAGAACCAGCGTACAGCAGCATCCATCGTCAAAGCTTCACCGCGCTTTGTTTGATTCCTTTTCTCAGCCTGGTGTTTATGTTCAAGATCCTCCTTTTGTTCTGATTTAGTTACGGGGTTTTTCCTCGACGGTGATTTTCATCTCCGCAACATTTTCCTTGGGTAATAAACATTGTGTAGTTTGGGTTTGGGTTCAGGGCCATTGTCCGCTCGTGACCTCTGTGGTAGGAACCCGTATCACAAGTGCTTGTAGCACAGCGATACAGACCGAACATTGGCCTCCAAGCAGTGCTGCACATCCCCCACACACATCACACCTCAGACCCTGTTAGCCCCGTCGTCAGACGGTGCCCAATCGACTGTGACCACAGCGGCGGTGCCCACTCAGCTGTGGTGACATCATTACCTGGCGGGCAGCGGAGACGGCTCGCCGGGGGGCAGCCGGCCACCTGCAGAGCCATGAAGCGGATGTCGTGCTTTATCGACAAACACATCTGCTCCAGTGGGTAATAACACATTTACTGTTCAACGCGACGCGCCTGTTTGTTTGTGTCACTTGGATCCAATCAGACATTATGCGTGTTATGTTACGTTTGATATTTCCAATAGGAAGGTATTGTTATTTTCATTGTACTCATTCCAAGTTAAAGAGTATGCGTTTTGTCTTTCACCGTGCAGGACGGGGGGCAGATTTCCATTTAGGTCACAACGGAAGAAAAGACTGAGAACAAATGTGGGAATTTGCTTTTTAAGAGAAGACTGAAATGAACAAACGTCGAGGGACCAACAAAAAGAAAGTAAATTAGATGAAATCCCACAATAATAGTGTGTCTTCAGGTGAGCAAAGCCCTCCTCCCCCCTCGGCTGTCACAGCTCAACGGGGAGATTGAGCGGCCGTCTGAAAATCAATGGCAGCCATTCAGCTCCACTTTAGGTCCTCGCATCAATCACTGCGGTGACGGATCCTCGGCACCGCGTATCACAGCTAAGAAGGGCTGTTAGCGTGTGTGTGTGTGTGTGTGTGTGTGTGCTCCACGTCTCATGTCTCATGGAAACACACACACACTTTATTATTAGTAGTATTAGTGTGCTACTGATGCGTTTTTGGTCAGCTGTGGAACTCGTGTCCTTTTTAAAGCTCCTCTCCGACTCACTGTCTCTTAACAAAATAGTTGTTGACGTGAACTCAAAAAACAAAGCACATGCTAAAAAATTAGGGCAACAATATTAATAATACTCAATCAAGAAGGGAAATGACCTAAATGAACACAACGCTCTGACAGAAAAAACAACGGGACATTTATACTCTTGTGAGCTCTGATCAATGAGGCTCTCATAGAATTCTGCTCTCGTTGAGACGTTGGATGGCATGTGGACAATTTATCCAATGTCCAATTGTCTTCCCGTCCCCCCGTAATCTTCCCACCATCTACCAGTTCATCAGTTCAACGTTTGCTAATTTTGTGGCTTCTAACCGCAGACGGTTCAGGAGACTTTTATTGTGAAAAACCTCTAGGAAATCACTATGTTGGTGGCTATTCTACAAGCAAGTAGTACAAATAACGGTGCACTTATATTATGAAGAATTTGTTTAAAAGCCACACGATGTTGCTAACCAATCACGCAGGTTGCATTGAACTGTCCCAGGTGAACGTATGGCGTCCGGTCTGCAGCATCAGAGGAGACGAGTGGGACCGGCCACATGTTAATGCTCCTTCTGATCCAGAGCAGCGTCTCAGGAGGGACGCCTGCAGGAAGGGGGCTGTAGATGTGGCGCTGCTAGCTATTAGCATTGTAAAAACACATTGGCTGGGCTTTTCAGTCTGAACGTGGCTTATTGTTGGTGGGTTCTGATTTGCACCAACCTGAGATCTTGTGTGACGAGTGACGATATTAAAGCTTGTTGGTTCAGTTCTGCGACTAATGGGTCCACTTTGACACAACGGGGACACGTCTTACTTGTGAGACTTGTGGTCCAGGACGTCGTTGTCGATGTGGCCGATGAGTCTTTGGCTGTCGAGCGACTTCACGTCTTTGGTCACGGACAGCAGACTGTGGCAGAACTTCCCGCCCATCTCCTGCAGCTCCTTGGTTCCTGTTTGCAGGCCCTGTGCGCGCACACACACACACACAAACACACACACACACATTACCGCAGTTGTAGGTGAACTGTTTCCCACGAGGCTTCTCTGAAACGTGTGTGTTTGTGGGCCTAAGAAGTCTGTTCAATAATTCAGAGAGCCGGTGAGGTTTACATGTGTTCTCTTGTGCGTTTGTATATTAGTGGTTTTACGTTTGATGATCATCTCTCTTTTTTTCAATATGGGCCAGAAAATCTCAATAATGGAAAAGGGATCTTAAGGAGCCGAAGGAGGATTAAATGGGAGCTGACCGTCAGAGGACCTAAAAGAACAAGTCACTTGACCAAAACTATTTAAAAAGATCAATGTTTTGTAAGCAGCATGATATTTTCTGATACGTGGCAGGATTTACATATAATAGATGGTCCTATTTGCGCATGCGTGTGGCGCAGATGCATCAGTATTACTTTGAAACACTTTCATAATGGTTTAAATGTTTCAACAAGGGAAACACAGGAGATGAATATTGTTTTTGTGACAACATGTTTCCTGAAATTTGGTGACTAGATGTTTTCTGTTTTGTAAATGATGCATTAAGCTATGAAATATCTGCGAATTTGCATACTTCTGCGAGCTTCTGCAGGGCTCTGTGTGTGTGTTTGTTGCAGGGCCGTGTGCCTCTAGGAGACGGCACAGTGGTTATTTCACTCCCCTTTTACATGGATGAAAATGTATTTTGGAAATATTTGATCATTGCATAACTGTTTCACGGGCTTGAGGTCTTCTTGCCTCTGGAGAAGAAGAAAGATGAGGTACAATCGATGTGCAACCGGGAGTCAGGGCTGAAAATAACCCACAGTCTGCCTGAGCTCCAGTTATAAGATGAGATGTTCCTTTATTAGTCCCACAATGGGGAAAATAATTTAAAAAACAAAGTGCAAAGGCCACAGTAACTAAGTATACCAAGTACTAAATAATTATATGTACCACAGTGGTTTTTGCACATTGATTTAGTGTTCCTTGCAGGTGTTTTCAGTGAATTAATGTCCTGTGGTTCACTGCTGCACGTTGGTTGTGCAGCCTGACAGCAGCAGGAAGGAAGGACCTGCGGTTCCTTTCCTTCACACACCAGAGGGTGAATCAGCCGCTGGCTGAAGGAGCTGCACAGAGCTTCCAGGGCGTCCGCCATGGGGGGGTTTCTCATCGGGGATGATAGCTTAGTCATCACCCTCCTGTCTCCCGCCAGTCCCACCGTGTCCAGCGGACACCCGAGCTCCCGGCTGGCCTTGATGAGCTTGTTGAGTCTCTTCCCGACGGCCGCTGATATGCTGCTGCCCCAGCAGACCACTCCATAAAAAATGACAGATGCCACGACAGAGACCAAGAAGGTCTTTAGGAGCGCTCCCTGCACTCCAAAGGACCTCAGTCTCCTCAGCAGATAGTCTGCTCTGACCCTTCTTGTAGAGTGCACGGATGTGATCTGTCCAGTCCAGGTTATTGTTCAAGTGAACATGCAGGTACTTAGAAGATCTCACTCTCAATGTCTGTTCCCTGCTACTGGAGGAGAGCGTTTACCCTGCGGTACTCCGCTGAAACCATCCTAAGAAGTCCTGCTAAAGTCTCTGTACTCCCAGTCATCACCGGCCGAAATGAGACCGACGATTGAGTCACAGAGAACTTCAGTAGGTGGCAGTTGGCAGAGTTGAATTAAAAGTCAGAGGTGTATATGGTGAAGAGGAAGGGAGCTAGGACAGTTCTTCGTGGGGCCCCCGTGCTGCAGAACACCAGGTCCGCTCTCTGATGACATCTGGACCGCTGAGAGTCTTTACGCCGCAAACTAAAGACACACCTCTTCAGACTCTACCTCGACTAAAACACTAACGGATTGTAGCACTTCCATTGTACTTATAACGGCTCTTATCTATAGCAAGTTGTAAATCAGCTTATTTAATGAAACTTGTTTCTAGTTTGTGTCCTTATGGTTTAATGCACTTATTGTAAGTCGCTTTGGATAAAAGCGTCAGCTAAATGACATGTGATGTGATGTACTGTGGACGGTTGGTGAGATACTCCTGGATCCGAGTGAGATGGTGGTCCACTCCGGACTGCTCCAGCTTGTCCTTCACAAGTAGAGGCTGGATGGTGATGGTGGTTCCAGCCCGCTCCAGGTGAGAGAGGCCTCTGTGTTGCAGGTAGATCATGCACCCCGATGCTGGATTGGTATGCTTGGTAACTGTAGATGGACAAGGACCAGCCTCTCTAGTGTCTTCATCAGGTGGGATGGTAACGCCGCCGGCCTGAAGCGGTTTAAGTCCTTGGGTCGTGGGGTCTTTTGTACCATGCAGGACGTTCTCCACAGCCGTGGAACTCTTTCCAGCTTCAAGCTCAGGGTGAAGACGTGCTCCACTATCCCGCAAAGCTGGTCTGCAGGACCTGAGGAGCCTTGAGCTGATGCCGTCTGGACCTGTGGGCTTCCTCAGTTCTTTTCTCACCTGGTAGGTTGTGAAGGAGAGGTTGGCGGGTGGGGGCGATGAGCTGTAGGGTGTGCTGATCGTGCACTGCAGTGTATGGGGAGTGTGGAGGGAAACCAGGTGCTGTGGGTAATCAAATGTGTTGAAGAATAAGGTCATTCTGGTCCCCCGTGGGCTGCTGGTTGGGCCCCTTGTATCCAGGCGTCGCCTTGAGGCCCTTCCAGACCCTGCTGATGTTTCCCACATCAGACAGGCTGTAGATGAAACGCAGATCCATGTCGCCCCTTGTCCCTCAGAACTGTGAGCACGGTGCTTTGGCGCTCACACCATAAGGTGCTGAAGCCTCGTGGTAGCTCTGGTATTATGTGCTCTACAAATAAAGGTTTGAACTGGGGACTTGATTCTACCGAGACACAGGAGTCCGTTTGATGGGGTGACGCAGACAAAGACACATTGATGTTTCACGTTTGGTTTGTGATCTCTTGGCTGAGCTGCTAAATGAATTGAAAATAAAGTGTATCTAACAGCAACTCTTGTCTTTTCCTCAAAGTCCGGCAACACACCGGAATTTTTGCTTGTTAAATGAAATAAAGTCTTCTTAAAATAAACCTCCCTCTTCACAGGAAACATCTTAGTTGGTTTTAGTCAACAAAACTACTTGTTTACTAAAGATGTCTTTGGGTTTATAAAAGACACAGAAGTGAGTTACCTGACAATTAAATCAACGCTAACTCGTCTTGGACGCGGTTTTGCTCTAACTTTGACGTGGACTCGAGAACAAACAACCCGCCACACCCGCATGTGCATGCACACACCTTGTAGATGCCCTGGTCGCAGCCGTTGTGGGTGCTCTCCATGGTGTAACTCCTCAGCACCCCCATTTCCCTCCAGACCACCACCCGGGCCGTGGCAGACCGGGACTTCTCCACCTGTTCAAGGAAGGATCTGTTTTTCACGTCACATCATTTGATATCAATAATATATCGCTTTAAAATGTTTATTTTCTCATTGTTCCGATTTCTTTTATTACCAAATAGTTGCAGCTGTTGAAAGAAAAGGCCGGTGCGAGACGGTCCAAGGTCTTTGGAATGGTCTACGAAGGAAGCAGAGGACAAAGACAGTTTTCTGTTGGTCGCTGGGCCGTGGAGAAAGGACCACGGAACCCCCCCATGGCCCCCCATGGCCCGCTGTGTGTGTGTGTGTGTCTCACCCTATAGCCAGGGTCCTCTTTCAATCCCACGGTGTTAACGGCAGAGCCAGACTGCCACAGAGTCTCCTTAACGCTGCAACCATACAGGAAGACGTTCTTCTTCCTGGAGTGGCCATGGTAGTCACAGAACACCTGCAGGAGGAACACGTCTCTGCATCACACGTCCGCCCGACTCATTGAAGCATCTGGAAACGCGTGATGAGCTTTTCCTGCTCTTCTTTGTCTGGAGTAATTCTTGGTTGGTCTGTGATGCAGAGCTTCATTATTTAATAATGCTTAATGGCTGCTTATGTAACTAAACTCCTGGGTGCTTTTGCTTTTATTCTCATAGCATTGCGTATTTGGTTCTTTTGTAGTTAAGATAATATATTCAATAATTGAATTATTATTATTATTAGTAGTAGTAGTAGTTAGTAGTAACCATAGTTCAGGAGGTAAATGTACAGAAACCAGAGTATGCACAAGTAGCACAGCCGCCTGTGCACAAGTCCATCCATCCTTCCAACATCATTGCTTTAAATCAGAACAGGTAAATAAGGTCAATTCATTACAGGTCTTTCTTATTAAAGCCTCATTACGCTCGTACCATGTCAGCTGTGTCAAGCTGGACAATCAGCTGCAGCTACTGCGGGAGAAAATTAAACCCTCATTCATTTTGCTGTTTTGTAGTCTCATTGATTTGAAAATGTTCTCCAAATTTAAAAACACTGCAGCTGGAATCTAATTCATTTTGTGAATTAAAAATAAATGAAAACATTTCGAAAAAAGCAAAGACTGAATTTCTGGAGCAACAAAAAAACCTCCCTGACATCACAAACCTTTGCTGGAAACTAAGTTTGCATTCAGCAGAGTTGCATCAACATTGCGTTGCTGCCATCAGAAAGATACCTGATGAAGTGGACGCCATCTGTTGTCGTTGCCACACTGCTGTTGGTGTCTGGTGATCACATTGGGCCGTGATGACGGACACACTCATATGGTGAGAATGCACCACCCACACGCTGCAGCAGCAGGTCATGGACACGACGCGCTGTGTTCGCTGTCGGCCTTCAGAGGTGTTTGTCAGTGTGCTGCTGAATGTGGCTCCACGCTGAGCTCATCGCCATGGCGTCGCCTACACTCACTATATTAAATGATTTTACCGCCACGGCTGTGACTTTACATCACAAGTAGCGTCTCAAACGGAGCTGGAACCGAACTTCAAAGCTAAACGAAGGGAGAGCGCAACACGCCACAACAGCCAGAGACGGCGAGCCGGCATGTGGACGGGACAGAAGAGCCTGTGTATCTCACCAGTGGCGTCCGTCCTATACTGTTGAGGTAGTAGAGCAACCCTTTAGTGTGGTAGATGGTCGGACAGAGGACGGGGTCGGGTTTAGACCACTGACGATTCAGATCCTCGCTGCTCAGATCACAACGATTCCTGGAGAGACACAGAGGACAGAGAGGACATTTGGACTGAGTGCAGCAGCCATGATGTTGGTTAAATTACTACTTGGTGTGTTTCCTCCACCTTTCAGGCTAAAGTGATAGTGACCATGAAAGTGAATGGAAGATATTAATAACCAAACCTACTCTGCTTGTACATGCAGTACTATTCGGTTACATTGGACACACAATCCAGACGCACAAATAGGAGCTCAATCATTCATAATTATGCTAAAACATCTCATGGTAGAAGTCAGTTAGTCACAACTAGGGGTGTAACGATTCATCCATTGAATCGATGAATCGATTTATATTCCTGCGATCCAACTGAATCGGCATTCCAGACGACATACATCGATTACAAATCGATTGAGATGGTACATAATCGATTGTATCGATACTTGGAAACTGCACATTGGATTTAAGCACAAAAGCGGTGTGGATGCGTGTTTGTTTGTTAGTTTTTAGCACTGGATTCAAACTCTGAACAACAACAACAAAACACAGCGTGGAGGAGACGACTGCAAGCGAGACATTTACAAACTTATCGATCCAGCGCGTGGAAACATTTTGGCTTTGGCAAACACAGAGTTGTTGTAAATAAGTCGCTCGCTGTTTGTAGAATATGTAGAAGCCAAATAAAAAACCACGGAAACACGAGGAATCTTTCCGGCCGTCTACTAAGGCGCCGTGGGATTAAACAACGCCGACAGTCAGGCACCTCGAGCAGCGTCACCGCTGCAGCAGCAGCAGGTAACTCAGCTCTGCTGACGCCTCAGGCCTCCAGCACCAAACTCACCATCACAGTAACAAGTTTATCTGTGAAGACGTGCGACCCTACAATGTGGTTGGAAATCCGGGGTTCTGTGAATTGATCCAAACATTGTGTAATTATTGTGTAATGTTTACATGGAAAATGGCACTTGATTCAAATAAAAGGTTAATATTTGCCATCAATTGTTGTTTGCTTGTTTATAATATCCATAATTAATTTAAACCTGATTTCCTTACAAGAAACAACAGGTATCTCAGAAACTTTGCCTGCACTGTCCAGTAAAGTTACTGAATCGATTTCAAGTCACTGAATCAAATCGAATCGTTCTAAATGAACCCAGATCGTCCATGAATCCAATCGGCAACCATGAATCGTGATTCGAATCGAATCGTTGTTAAAATGAATGGTTACACCCCTAGTCACAACCCAGATGAGCTAGGAGTGGGTAAGTGAAAGGACCGCCCGACACAGTTAACATGTAGCTATTATGAAGGTGTCATTTCCAGTGATAGTACAGCTCAGTAGTAGTAAAGGTTGTGTAAACACGATACATCGGCCTGTGAGACCAGTCAGTGTCATCAGGAGCATGAAAGATAAACCTGTTAGTGTACAGGAGGTACAGCACGGTGGCACTGCTCTTTAATCATCTGATAGTGATATCTTCTTTTTTAATTACACATCCACAGCACACATGAAATGCACAAAGAACAATCAAATCAACATTTCAGGATATTTAGTGAGTCGTCTATATCTTATGATATTTTGTAATACTGTATATATATATGTATAATGTAACTTCTTAGTGTGGCCCAGCTTATTTCAGGTTAGAGTGACGTCAATACCAAGAGCTTACAAGCAAACAGTTTTTCGAACGTTGCAGCATGAAAACATGTAGAGGGAGGAACCTGTAATAGGCCTCTGGTGAGAACGGTCATACGTGCAGTGGCAGATTTGTAGACATTACAATAGTTTTTTTTAATCTTCAATTGCAGCCCAAGTTTCATTGGGAATTTCCCTCACTGGTTTACTTAACCCCCATGCAGCCTTGTAGTCCAATTAGGGGGGTGTATGAAGGCCTTAGGCTCGCTCATTAGCCGGTCCTGTGCAGAATCGATCACCAGAATTCACCATGGAAACCACATCGATTTGTGTCTAACTTCATCCCTGTAGAGCATCACAGATTGACACCCAGGGCCAGCCGCCCTGTTCCACGAGTCTGCTGCTGAAAGGGCTGAGATGGTCAACAAAACGCCAGTGGGGGGAGCACAGTTTGATTCACCTTTCTTAATAGGATCCCGGTGCAAGATCCCCCCGTGTTCCACTACAGCGCCAGTGACCGTAAGTAAGTGTGTGTGTGTGTGGCCCTGTTTTAACCGGCTTGTGGGGACTTTGATTACAAAGTCACGCTGAACGCACCTTTTTCTATGGGACCAAATGGGGACAACTACGTTAAATTACTACATTATGGGGTGAAGCGTTGCATCGGTTTAGGTTAAGTCTTGAGGAAATGAATGTAAGTCAATGTAAGGTCCCCGAACGTCAGGACAACACGTGTGTGTGTGTGTGTGCGTCCCTCGCATGTGAAACAGCATTCTGTTTGCATTTAACTTGTGTGTCTCTGAGGACGGAGGTTTGTGTTCCATCGCAGCTCGATGTCATGTGAGCACACTTCAGCTTCTAAATAGCAAACACAGAACAAAACCAGAATAGATGTTTTAACGGTGCTACGGTCCTTTCAAAACATTGTGTAACTAATGTGTAAGTGTTTTTTTGGGGGGGGGTTGTTTTGGTTGATTCATTATAAATGATTGCCATGACAACGGTTTTTCTTTCATGGTGTTTTGAACAAAGCATTTCTAAAAATCCCAAATCCCCGGGCACGGACACAGAGGAACACGGAGATCCAACGCGGTAAACTCTTTGTAAACTGTTATTTTCCACAACATTTGCTCCTCTCTAAACGACACTGCAGCTGGCTGCCCTCAGGCGCCGGTGTGTGTGTGTGTGTACAAAAATAAATGGCAAAGGGAATGATTATATTTTATTCTGTAAGCTTTTCACACACTTAATAATTTGCCATTTAACCAAAAACAGCTAAATCCTTGTAAATCATGTGTTATATTGGGTTCATAAGTTCAAGAGGAACTGAGAAATGAGTTGTTCATTGGTTTGGAAATATGAATACAGTTAACACGCTGCAATAAGTCCATAGAACCGTTTAGGTAGAGCGTCGTTTCTACCTTTTGATCGGTTCGGTTAAAACAAACATCCGAACCAAGACGCCCTTAATATGACGTCTTGGTTCGAAGGCGAACAAGCACAGGAACTTCTCATGTGATTTGTGACATTGGCATGAGCCTTATCACCGATGAAGCCTTTCTCCGTATGAAAGAACGCATGTGTGCTGTGGTGACACCAAGTGTGTTCCTAAATGGACCCGAGGCTTCGTACCGTAAGTCCACAAAATAATGAGTGATCTGCCCACTGCCGCCGTCAATGGTCCGAACCGAATGAATCAACATTAACAGAGTGGCGGCGCTCCGTGTGTGTTAACTATCGCTGTAGGACGCCAGGAAAAACAGTTAGTTGGGATTTCATTTGAATAAACGGAAATAAGATATGCCAAAATAACAACTGACTGCAAAAGTACTAAGTCGGTATTTGTATTTTGTTCTTTTTCTGCGGAAGATGAACTTTAAGAGGTTTTTCTTACTTTTTATTGGAGCCTGGATTGGTCATTTTTTAGCAGCTCCAGTAACACTCAAAATAATGTAATCTAGATGTGAATACGGCAGCGGTGTTTGTACACAAACAATTATATATTATATTATTATATTATAAGCACAGCTTTGCCCGACCACGACCTATATGAGGTATGTTGGGGCCTGGAAACGTCCATTTACCTCTTTGTCATATGGTCATTGGAGCAGCATTGCAGTTACATAGCGAGGCTCCAAAGCCTTACAGAGAAGTGACCATAGAGTCAACTGATCCAGAGTCTGCACAGTCGCACACATTTTATTATAGACCACTAAGCCAGATGGATACATTTCTGTTTCCTCCTTGATGAGTGATCTCTAGAACTTATAAAAAATATTTCATCTTCATTTTGCCAAAAAAACAACCAAATATATATTTCATCTTGAAGATATATACGTTATTAAGACTATTAGAGGCTCTTCAGTTTACCGTGTAGTAGTATACAGATGATTGATGGCCCCTTGATGAGATATCACAGCTGTTTTTATTATTCAGACAACAGATGAAATGAAATGTAAAATGTGAGTTGTCTTGCAGTGACAAGCTCACAGAGGACGATGACCAACTATCCAGTTCCCCTCAGCTTTAAAGGGCCTTTCAGGGAAATCAGTCCTACTCAGAGGGAATTTGGTACTTCTGGTTTGCTCAATTTGCTCTGGTTTGGTGTCACAGTGCACAAATGAAAGCAGAGAGATTGATTTGTGTCCTATTCTACTTTTCCCCAAATGGACCACACCGGGTTTTGATTGAAACCTAAAACTATATGTTACATGTGAAAGTGCAGCTGTGGGCTGCTGAGCAGAGAGCGCATCAAGCTCTCTTCCTGCAGGCCGCAGACACAACCGGTTGGTGAACATTTAGCAGCTAAACAGATATATAGTCCCTCAGGAGTAAGTGGACACCAGACATGGGACTACAAAACCCTACATTAATCCCACCATCCAAATGCACGACTATTATTCTGTGTCAGCTTTATAATTAGATGGTGTTTCAGCCTTCTGCCTCGAGTGGAAAAGACATTGGATTCTTTTGCCATATTTCACACAGCAAGACGAGCACAGGACACTAAAGTACATGAATGTGGCCTTCAAGACATGACCGAAGCAAACGTATCCCAAAACTGAGGGGAGATCCTCCTGTCAATACATCACATGTCAGTTAGCGACTTACATTGCATGTTTAACACAGTGGGAGCCGTGTGCAGGCGTGTGTGTGACAGAGACAGAGGGAGAGCAGGGAAAGGAAATGCAGCTGAACGAAGACGCTGCGGGATTTAAATAGCGTTAAAAAAATAAAAATACAGCAAACGCAATGTGTGGCGGCCGGACCCTGGTCCTGACACCTGCCATGCTGACGGCTGCTGCTGCCGTCATCATCATTATTATTTTAGATATTACTAATTTTATTGTACCAACATTACCTTCTCCTAAAGTCTCTGTGCTCTGTGGATGGTGGTTCTATGTGATGGTGGTTCTATCTGATGGTTGTAGTTAAGTAGGGGCGTGGACAGGGAGGAGTCGGGTACTACAACAGTGCGCTCAATTCCAAGTTGATTGGGATGTACCAAGGAAATGTGCTTGGATTCATGCGTTCACACACATTGATACATCCGGATGGCATTTGGGTTTGATCGTACGCCATGTTTCAGTAAGAAATCCACTCAAGTCTTTGTACATGAGGCGCCAGAACCTGTAGAAGAACTTGGAGACCATCACGCCATTCACCAACAGCCAGGGCTTTGGCTTTTCTTGCAGTTCACCCTCGCTGCCGGTGCGTTGCCAAAGTCTGGTGGTTGGCTGTTTAAAAGGTATCCCTCTGGTCCTTGATATGAACCATATCATCCGGATATCAGCAGACAGAGCACAATCCTGCCGGGCCAGATGACTGACAACGACAGAACGGTCCTCACGCATGCACAGTCGCTTCTGCTTCTTTCATCGGATTGTTTTGCACGTCAACCCCCCCGTACCTTTCGTACTCCCCCACGGCCGTACCGCCTGCGGGCCGGATCGTCAGCGCCACCCGCCTTCGATCAAAGTGGGCAGTATTGGACCCAAACCTGAAATGAGTTTGGCACCCCTGCTACACAGACTGCCGTTTATCTTCAGCACACTCTGTACGCCGCCGTTTATCCCAGCGGACAATTTTACTCTGATGTGTCCGACTACGACCCCCACATCAGCCCGATGTCACTTTGTGATGGGGCACACAGCGAGCTGGGGCATAATGACTCCTATTACGTACCCCTGTCACTGCAACGTATCCAACACAGCCTTTTTAATCACGGCGGTGTACCAGGGAGTTCTGAGCCTAGAACGGCACACAAATGCACTGCTCCACATTCCCATCGCGACCATTCTGCGTAACGGAGCTGGCCGTCTCGTCCATGCCTCCCACTCACGTGCCGTTGACGACTCCGTCCGGGTTGAGCATGGGGATGAGCTTGAAGACAAAGGCCTCCCTCAGACTCTGGGCCACAGGGTCACTGCTGCACAGAAACTCCAGGGTGCCCTTCATCACCCAGCTGGCATTGGACTCGCCGGGATGGACGCGGCCTGTTAGCACGATACAGGGACGGTTACCTGGACAGAGACAAAGGCCGAGACGTAAGACGTAAGGGTGGAGCGGCAGAATCTTCAGTCACTCGTAACCTTTACCAAGCTACAGATGGGCCACATCTTCAGAATGCCTTAAATTGCCCTGGTCGATTGTTGGAGCAGCAATAATATTCTTTTTCCGGCTGTAGTGGCTGTTTCTTTTCTATCTGACCAAACCACAGTCATCCTTTTTCATTTTGTAAAGCTTGAAAGTGTGTTCCCATGATCGAGGTAAAATGATTGACCCGAGTCTGGTAAATTTCAGGGAAGCATATTCATTGAATGTTTTAGCAATATATACACATTGTAATTATTGTCCAAAACCCTGTTATTTTACTTTATACCTATTTCAGCGAGGCCAAACATATGCATGTCCCCCTTGGGTGTCATAGAGAAAATTAACAGATTTGTGACCTTTACCCCAGAAGATAGGTTTTTTTTCAGTGGCTTCGGTGGGTCAGGAATCGTGACAAACAACTGAGGGAGCGCCAGCGCCTATATTCTTACATCTCCTGTGTTCTCTAATTCTCCGGCATCATTCAATTATTCACGATGGGTTTTTAATTAAAACCCTGCTGACGGCATGTCCTCTAAGCCCATCACAACAATCTATTAAGCTCTGTCAGCGCTGGTGACAGATGGACAATTATGTCGGCTACCCGAGGCCACAAGTAATAATTGTAATGTTGCAAAAGGGTCATACATAACATTTTAGTGTCAGAGATTACAACGCGAACGTGGTGCAGATAGCAAGCGGGTAGACGAGAGCCTGTGATCAGTTGGTTGTTTAAGCTCTATGCCAGGCAGCTATTGAGGAGATACTGTGGGAAATGTTGAATAGGTGGATTGGCTGGATAGAGATTTCAGGTTTCTTTCTAAATTGAATGGGATTGTAGATGATCACCTCAGACCTACAGTGGGGAAAAAAAGTATTTAGTCAGCCACCAATTGTGCAAGTTCTCCCACTTGCGAGATGCGAGAGAAGCCTGCAGGAGGACATGCAGGTCGGACCAGCTGACCCACCGGAAAACCAAGCATAGAGGTGTGAAAACGGACAGAGCTCACTGGACAGGGACTCGGAGCCCATCGTCTCTGAGATTATCCACATTTTGCCACGGAGCTTGAAACCGCTGGCGCCGGGTCGGAAGATCCGTTCCAAACACTGACGGTACCAACGAAGAGGCAGGTTTATTGGGCTTATTGGGATTAACGTGTTTTATAAAAGCTTTAGCGGTTATTTGTGGAGTTGTAACGTGGTACTTAATTGCCCCAGATTCTGTAATCTTGCCTGAGAATTCCATACTGTTGGATTCCCACTGCGGGAGTGGAGTTCAGGAGCAGAGCTGTCCAGAGCAGCTGCACCTCACACAGGACATTTTTGGAATGCAGGAGACCGTCCGTGTGCTTTTTTGTCATCACCACTTTTCTTTGGTAAATCAAAACAGGCCTGTGGTTTCCCCCCCGGAATGGGGAAGCCAATGTGTCTTTGGCTCAATTTCACAGCAGATCATTTCAGTCTTGTAATGCGATAAAAGGTTTTGCTCATGATTGCTTTGTGGATTGTAAAAAAAACCAACTGGAACAAATACTATACTACATCTCTTTTTATTCATATGGCCATGTGCCAGTGTTCAGAACCTCGCTCCACTTCTGCTTTAATGTAGTTTATCTGTTTATTAATCGAGACACAGAGACCTGTATGTTCTTCACAATTCCAGACCCATCCAACATTTCCAAATGTTCATTTAGATTAATGCTGCACTATTTAAAGGCTCACTTCTGCAATGTTGGAGTGGAGTTTTTAAACTAAACTGTCAAAATTTCATTGACAGTTTAGTTCAAATTTCATCCTAAATCATATTGACGTGTGATTTTATAGTGAACTCCTTTTGTCACAAATTCAGCAGAAATGATAAAGGCACCACCAGCTAGTATGTCACCAAGCAAGCCAACTATTAGAGGGACGTCACGTTTGTTTGAGAGATTTATTGTTTGGTTTTCTAGCCGCTTCACTGTTTCCTTCAAACATTGCATTGCTGAGAATAGCATGTCCACAGAACAGTGCTCCCACGTACACGTAACCTGCTTACAATCCACATGGAGAAGCCTCTGGGGACACTGCATGTACAGCCTGGATGTACTGGAGCGTCTGTGGCTCAGATCCCCACTGTCCTTTATTTCTGGTTCCTGGCCAAGCAGTGTACAATGGAAAAGAATTAAAGGAAAATCAAATTCAAATCTGTAATTAACAAAAATAAATATACCACATCTAGAATATTTAAAATGTTTGCAAAGGAAAGCTTTACAGAAGAGAATTGGAATGAATATTAGAATAAAGTACTATAAAATGTGCATAATATCTGAATTAAAATATAAATGCTCTGCTGCTTTGAATCACATTGGGAACCCAATGACATCACCATCTGAATGTACGACAGGCCGTGAAGTACGAGCAGCGGGACAATCAGACAGGTTGGAGACAACAGTTCACATCCAACTGGAGGTCACTGATGCACATCAAGTGTCACAAATGGTCGTGAGCATGCGGGATGTTTACAGCGCACGCCGTGCTTTCTGGGTCACCTTTGTTTACTTCCCTGATTGCAAATGTGTTCTTGCGCAGCGTTGAGGTTTCTCACTCTGTGATGAATGGAACAACATGGGCCGCTCTACAGGCCTGGGTTTGTATTCTCAAGCAGCAGCAGTGAAAAAGGGAAGTGGCTGATGGGACAGACCTTTGGGGAACCCGTCCCACACGCTGACGGCTTGTTGGGACAGAACGTACTGACACGTCCTCAGGTGCGAATGAATGGACAGTAAGGTATGCCTGGGCGTGTGTGTACTCGGATGGGGACAGTGGGGGGTAGACCACCAATATCCAGGTACTACTGACATGTCCCGAGCAATAGCTTTAAAAACCTGTGAGAAAGAGACCGCTGTTATTTTTATATTAACAGTACCGTTTACGGAAATACAGGACTAATCAGGTCTCAGATCTCAGTCGCTGCCCTAAAGATAGTCGTGTCCAGACACTACAGGCCTACTGCACTGCAGATAGCAGGGTCGCTTTATTTCTTAAAATATTATATAGAATAATATGACTTATTTCCAAATGTGTAGCCTTATTATAATCCCTTTGTTCTCATTAAATTGTGACTTTTTTTGTCTGAGAACATGAATAAAAATGAAAACTTGGTCATATGGTTAAAAATATGCCAATCTAACTTATTTTGCAGGCAAGTGAGCAACTTGATGTACAGACGAAATTTTTGGACATGGCTGTTGATAAGAAGCTACTAGAGAAAAGGGGTCGGTAAAGAAAGTGATTCGAAGAAAGCTTTGAGATTTTGAAGGGCTGATATATGATATTATACTGTAACTCTGGACCTCCTTTGGATCAATGTGATCTAACCTTCCCCTGCCTCAGTACACTGAGTAAAATGGCACACCCATATTAAAATGTGTTATAACTGGTTCGTCTAGCAGAACCATTGGGGATGGACCTATGGGGATGAAGGGGAACCCATGTGAGTGTGCCGAAGTGTAAGTTAAGGAAATAAGTCAAGACAACACACACACACAAAATGAACCTTGAAACTAGATTTTGTGAATCACCTGAAATAAAATCCTTTTAAAAATGAACTTTAAATCCTTCATAACTTGGAGATACCAGGCTAAAAGCTCATCTGCGTGGACAGTACACGCGCTTGCGGCATGCAGACGATGAAGGAAGCTCGTCTCTTGCTGAAGAAAACCTCAAAGGTAAGGGGCATGTAGGATTGCATGGTGATGTGTTGGTATGCGTGGTGATGTGTTGGTATGCGTGGCGATGTGTTGGTATGCGTGGTGATGTGTTGGTATGCGTGGTGATGTGTTGGTATGCGTGGTGATGTGTTGGTATGCGTGGTGATGTGTTGGTATGCGTGGCTGATGTGTTGGTATGCGTGGTGATTGTGTTGGTATGCGATGGTGATGTGTTGGTATGGATGGGTGATGTGTTGGTATGCGTGGTGATGTGTTGGTATGCATGGTGAATGTGTTGGTATGCGGTGGTGATCTGTTGGTATGGATGGGTGATGTGTTGGTATGCATGGTGATGTGTTGGTATGCATGGTGATGTGTTGGTATGCATGGTGATGCGTTGGTATGGATGGTGATGTGTTGGTATGGATGGTGATGTGTTGGTATGCATGGTGATGTGTTGGTATGGATGGTGATGCGTTGGTATGCATGGTGATGCGTTGGTATGCATGGTGATGCGTTGGTATGCATGGTGATGCGTTGGTATGGATGGTGATGTGTTGGTATGCATGGTGATGTGTTGGTATGCATGGTGATGTGTTGGTATGGATGGTGATGTGTTGGTATGCATGGTGATGTGTTGGTAAGCATGGTGATGTGTTGGTATGGATGGTGATTTGGCAACGTTTGTCTGAGAGAAACGATTCAGCTTCGTGTCGGCCTGCTCGGTTTGGTGAAATGTTACCAATACACCTTTTCTGGACCAATTTGCATGTCATATTTTAGAACTTGGAGTTGTGTTTGGAGTATGTAGCTGTGCTCAGTTTGCCGGCCTTTAGGGCCTCTCAGGTAGAACAGGTTTTAAAGACAGCTCACAAAAGAGATTTGGAAAGGCTGAACTTTTGAAACCCTCCATCCGAATCTTATGATTTTCATTGTGACTGACACAGGTTGTTGAACATCTGGAGAGGAAAAGGCAGCGTGACCTGTCAAACAACCACTTCTAGCATGAGGATCAATGGAGGGACACAAGAGAAGTGAGTTGCAGGATGTTGTACCGCAGCTCAAAGTGGCTCTCAGGAACCCTTTTGTCTGGAGGCCGCGCACGTCCCGCTAGATGAGATTATGTTTGATAATTAACAGCTTTAAAAGATGAGCTGTGATTCCAGTGAAAGCCTTTTCAAAATTAGACAAGAAGAGCGGCAGGAAGCGGGCTGCTCGGTGTAATCCGAGTGTTGAAGGAAAACATCCTCGATAAAGAGCTAAACTTGTTTGGGAGGAGAAGAGTTAATAACTCAAATCAACTTCAAATTCATTTCGGCTTTCGCTGAAATGAGACGAGTTATAAGCTGCTGGAAAAGTGAGGTGCTGTTTTATACACGGCTGGTTGGAATTAGCCAATTAGCATACTCATTAGCATGCACAGGAACTGGTTGCCGGTTGCCGAGGGCTTTGTTTGCACTGGAGTTTGGGTTGTTTTTCCAACGTAGACCCACACACAAACCCCCTCAGAAAGAAAACTCTTATTTTACCCCCTCCCCCCCGTAGCTGCGCCACTGAACGGTTTGTGGCTAATCGCCTAGTGAACACAGCTCGTCCTTTGCGCAGTGGGACGTCTCCTCTCTGCTGCACCTCAAGTTGACCGGCAACCTTTTCGGGTGTGCTGGAGATCAACAGCAACAGCTCTCGGCGTGGAGGGGATTCGGCATCCTGAGCGTAATCGATGCCGAGTGCAAATTGGGCTGCGAGGAAGACAAACACTTGAGGGGAAGGAGGTGACTTGCCAGTGGCAGATATTCACAGCTGGGTGATCAGATTTGTGACCCTGGGGGGAACACATAATCCCACGGCCATGTTTTCATTCAGTTGGAGTTGTGGCAACACCTTTGTTCACTAGGCTGCTCTGATACACCATTTGTAGCAATAAGCAGTGCACTATAGTCTGTACAAATTAGTTTGATAACCAAATAATCATGATGATTAGGTGAAGTAAGATGCTGAGGGATTAGGAATTATTTGCAATTTTTGTGCTTAACAGGACTGAAGGACCTTATGAAACGGTCTGTTACTGATGTCGCTTTATGCACTAGACCAGTAAACGAGAAGATATTGATTCAATTCTCGTTCCACCAGCTCGGTTTAGATTAGATGAAAACAACACCAGGAAATCCTAACAATGTGATTCCAATTGGCCTGAGAGCCTTCGAGCTGCAGTCGGGGGGGGGCAAGTAGGGGGGCAAGTAGGGGTTGGGGGCCAGAAGCAGCGTTTTCCCCCACTGGACGCTAACATTGGCACTATACTGATGGAGCACCATGCTTTATTCACGGAGCCCACAGGAGGGGGGGCACACGAGATAGAGAACCATGGCTGAATCGGGGCGGACAGTGAAATGAGAGGATTTCTAAAGGGAGTCTGGAGCTCAGAAACACTGCAGCTTTTATCCACGGCGACCACCAAACACAAGAAAGGATGTAAGCTCCTCGTGACAGCTTCCTTCATTATTGTAAACCAATCAAAACCCATGACAGTTCTGTTGGGATTTAATTCCAAACCATATTTTAACCTCGTCGAGTAGTTCAGTATCTCTTGTGGACCCGGAAAGTTTTTAGGAAAACGTCGTAGAAATCACTTTTCATGAGAATGACATGAACAATTAGAATCAGAATACCACGGTTTACTGGGGATATCCGTTAGGGAAGTTTAAAGGAAACACTTTTGAACTACAAATGCATCAATAGTTCAAATCAATCATCCATTTTCATTCCCTGAAACGCTGACTCAGCAGGCGCATTGGGGGGAAAATGCCATAACTGTCTGGTGTGTCAATGCTCTGCAGTAGCCAGGTACAAGGTTATGCTAATGACGATATGCTTCGATGAAACTCCTAAACAAATTATTCCTATATATTTGTGACTGTGAAGGCTCACTGGCTTTCAATTAAGACACTGAGAAACAAACAACGCGTTGATATCTGTCTCTGTCAGGATGCCTGGCTGGCTGTTTGTCTCCTTTTGTCCGCCATTCTCGCTCTCTCACACAAAAACACATCGCCTCTCTGTTTATATGACCCCCGGCACTGAGACCCTTATTCCCAGCTAACACACACACACACACACACACAGCAATACTCACGGACTTGGTGCATGTCTTTCCAGCCCCGGCTGGCTGGACGGGCGGTGATGGTGACCGCGGGACACGGATTTCCAGCCAAAGTGCAACAAAGAACCTGCTGCTGGAAGAACACCTTGGCCGGGTCCACCGAGTTCTGCAGCACCTTCAGGTGAGCCTGATGGACACAAGCGTGTGGAGTTGGCATGGAGGTCCTCATGGAGACACGCATCAAAAACCGAATTCATGTCAGTATTTCAATGCAAAAAGTGAAACTCGTTCATTACACACACACACACACACACACACACACACACCAAGGGTGTAACCATGGTTTAGACCAGCGGTTCCCAAACTCAAGAATGCCCACTTTGCAATCTGAAAATCTTTTGCGGCCCACCCAAACCTTTAATCACAACTCTGATCAAAACATAAACTAGGGATGATTAAATGACCCTCAGAATTTAACCGATTAGTAGTAATCGACAATGTATGTTTTGTGTACCATTTTCTCCGGAGCTCATATATATTTACTTTAATACTACAAGCGGGCGCCACATGTGACATTGTTTTGTTTGGCGGCGCCTTTCGTTGAATAACGGCAGGCGGACGAGAGCAGCCGTTTCCAGCGAGCCTTCGTTTAAATTGTTTGTGCTTCATCAATTAATGTTTCACGTAACTAATGTGCCGCTAGAACTGTTCAAATAATACTTAAACTGAGAAAAAGATGTGCGTTTTGTATCTTATCAATTATCAATCGTTTTAAGTAAAATACAGAAATTTTAATTTTTTATATTCATTTCAAACTTTTCAAAATTGAAAATTAAAAACGTTTTATTTATTTATTGTAAATGACCTCCCACCAGTGGGCCGTGGCCCACACTTTGGGAATCGCTGGTTTAGACATTGGGGGGGGTCCGCTACGGCCGACGGGGGGGTGGGCGCGGACACTACGGCCCCTCTGAGCGGAGCGAGAGTCACGCCGCGTTTCGCCTTTGAAACGGTTTATAAGAGGAAGGAAACGTATGTATAATATACATATTTTGTGCTGTATATTGGGGGGGCACGACCCCCCCAAAGGATGCGTGGTTACGCCCTTGACACACGCCTTGATATATTTAAAGCATTTATCTTTCTTGATTTTGATGATAATGGCTTTCGCCTAATGAAATCCCCGAATTCAGTATCTCTGAAAATTACGATTTAAGAGTTTTAAACAAAAATGTCGTCCCACTGAAGTGGGTGTGTTCAGAATGCAGTGTGGCACTGCTCAGGTGTCATGGAAGCCCAGGTCGCTTTGATAGCGGCCTTCAGCTCGATGAAATACTAAAATATCTAGTAGCCAATAGCCCATTAGCATTGACACACCATAAATACCCGGGTCAGGGAAAGGTCACTTCCTGTTTTGGATCAAAACCCCACTGGGCGGCGGCAGCGTGGTGGCTCCTCGTTCAGCGCTGAGTGATGTTGCTGCTCATCAGCTGCCGTGGCCGGTGGTGATGTGGATTAGCATTTGTTGTGGAAGTGTACATGTGAGGTTCTGTTCATATCAGTCTTGGGGTTATTGTTTTATTGTCATTTTAGGTGTAATCTGAGTTTTTTTGTCCGGGCTTCAATGCAACCATTTGTTTTGCTTTTGAATTCATTATAAATGCACCACAGCGTGAGCTGGACTGACTCACGTTTTTTTATTCCACACACATTGGGATCCGTGGACGAATTTGAAATCTTCAATTCAGTTTGAATTCAAATTAAGTTAAGAAAAAAATTGAAGGACTCTTAGCAATATACTAATTCATTGAGTTGCAATGTTCTCCATCGGAATGGCTCTGTATTCACACACACTCCTTTTGTTTATAGGACAACTAAAAGTATATTCATCATCATAATGAGCAAGTAACTATTTGGCTTTTGGGTGTGGAATCCACTTGCTGGGCCCAAAACCTGAGACATCGGTTTCACTATTTAAGTCTGTTGAGTTCTGAAAATAGATGAGATGCATCAACATTTCACCAAAACCAACCTTCCCAGATCTTGAGGCTAAGTTCAGCCTCGTCGCCACAAAGAAATACTGTCAATTTGTTTTTGGCAATCCACATTGGGTTTTTTGTGGTCTGTAGAGAGTTTGGCGTAAAGCCGCTGCAACCTTGGTTGGAAAGATGGTTGTGGCACGTGATAAGGAGGCATCTTGGACGGTTCCCTTTAGTGGTTTGCCAAGTACATCCAGCGGGTAAGAGGGCCCGGGAACACTACCGGGTCTCCCATGTAGAACTGCCTCCGTAGGCACAAATGATAATGAACGAATAATGGAATGGACGTTTTCGCATTCAGGCCAAGTCCCGCTGTACCTGCAGCGGTATGACAAACGGTATAAAGAAAGCCCCCAGAGACCAGTACGAGGGACAATGGATGGGACAAACAGATACAGGACTTCATTTCACATGCAAAGGTCAAAGTCATTTTCAGGTTCGACAGGGACACTTGTCATAAATGGTACCTGCGCTGATAAAAGTTGTCCTGGTTGTTAATCCTTTTAACACACATAAATAATAGTAGTTTTGTTGCTTCAACCCATCCTTTCACAGAGTGGGCTTCAACAAGCACGATATCAGGCTATGAAACTTGTCTTTTAGATGGGAAGGGTTTCTATCTCTGGTGACAGGGTGGCACCATACAGCACAAATCAAAAGTAAGATTTGGTAGCACAGGGCTCAGCAGTTTGGCCCCTGATCCATTTGTTGTGCACAGTAGATCTTTCCAAAACCCGGAATCCGTCCACTCCGGCCCTGTGACAACATTACTACTGCTGCTTTGGATTCGGATTGTGTAGTTTAAACCCCATGAAGGAGGACTTCTTATCAGTTCTAGATATCTACAGTCACATTCATCGCTGGTTGCACAACGACTACGTAAGGCTTGAGAGAAAGCCCAATAATCTGAATCAGCATATTGGTTGCACAGAAAGGAGCATTATAATCCATCTGGCATGGCTGCTACACTGATTTTCTGATTACATTTGAATTCAAACATGTTGTGTGGAAATCTGCTGGAGGAGATGTACACATTCATTATTCAAGCAATTTCAGGTTGACATTTTGGTTCGTTGGTGATATATGATAAAGACGTTTACTTTGGAGTGAGTTAAACCCTTTTGGGGTAAATCTCCTGTACTTCCTGGTTGTCTCCAAAGATCCCACGGCTGTATTAACGTAGACCCGGCTAGTTGTGCCTCATAGTCAGTAACTCCAGAAGCAGAGGATGGTAAACTACCACTAGCTAAATGGTGAATGGCGGCTGGGTACCGTGAGAGCGGAGTACGTGTAGGGATAATGGTAGGCCAGGTAGCAGACGTCCTCATTGTGCTTGAAGGTGATGGTAAAGGTTAGAGTGTAAAAGGTTGTTTTCCTTCTTCCCCGAGCTGGACAAAAGTGGTTCCTGGAGGAGGAAAGTGAGGGAAGGACAAACATCAAGTCAAGTTGTGAGAATAAAAGAATCTGCATCTCCAGTGTGCCTGTGAGGTATCCGTCTTCACTTCAGATAGCAAGAAGCCTTCAAGCAGCTCCGTAATCAATATCATGCTGTGGCATAGGTTACATAAACACTTTACAGTTATGACTTCTTTCATTCAGGCAGAAGAGAGGAAACACAGGAACAACTGTATGTAATAATAATAAATGTGTTCAGGTGCCGTCCTGGACTTTATATTTTCTCTATCTGTCTGTGTGATGCTATTTGTGTTTTACTGCTGAAGAAAAGAAACAGGGTGGCTATGAGAATCTCATTCTTACCTGAAATAACAGATTTCCGTCCCGGTCCTGAGCCAGTGTGGTCTTCCTTCCAGAGCTTCCGTCACGGAGTAAAGCACGGGCTGCATCCCTGTAGTGCAAACACAAGCAGACTAGAAGGAATTAGTAAAAATAATATTACTTAAACTGTAAAATGTTAAAAGGTTCTTCTTTGATATCAAGAATACATTAATTCATTTTTTCATGGAAAGAAAAAATGACAAAGCGACACAGCAGTCCGTCTGCAGTCGGTGTCTCAGCAGCAAAACTCGTGGACCGATAACGCTGCACTTTGTCTCTATAATATTATCATGCCGTTTGAAATAGGTAGTTTATTTTTTGCTGTCTTTGATGTTTTAAGCATAGATGCCAAAACTCAACACAAAACCCAAATAATAAAATAAACACAGTTTAAGTCAACGCACAAACATGTATACAAACATGTAAAGTTGTTAAATCAACGATGAGAAAAGGTTGGCTGCCAGCCCTCCCTACATTACCCCCCCGTGACAACCACAGATGCCACTTTTTTGGTTTCCTGTTCTTTGCTAAGGCCTTTAGCTTAGCGATTTCTATCAGGATGTAAAGATAATTCAAAAAAATCTGTAAAGTGTCAATTTAAATTTTAAACATAGAATCCATTAAAGAGTTTTCAGCATGTTTGGAGATGCCTTTGGCGATAAGTAGTCTCCCTTCCAAGTGGACATGGCGTGTTACTTTCCACAGTACTGCTAATACGAGCACTTTTAGCAGTGGGCCAAAGGCGCAGTCGCCATTCTGTTACTTTACTCAGCAATAGATGGTTACACTTCTATCACTTTGTGTAATGCCATTGCATTTATGTAACCCTTCTCAAACTAAATTGTTAACAAAGTGAGTCAGCATCTTTGTCCTTCTCCTTTTTCGCCTTCCACAGATTTCAATTTTGTTAGCAACTCGACAACAATTGTTAGTAACTCATTTAGAATCCGGTTTTTGTCGTCGTCCGTCTCTCTAGCGCCTCTCTTACTTCCTCCCTGATTGCTTCCAAGTGAATCCAGGCTGCAAAGCTGCAGTGGATCACTGAGACGGCCTACCTCGTAAATGTTACTCAAAGAGACACGTCCCAACAGTAAAGAGGAAAAAATTAACTACAGATGCACCAAAACTGAAAAATTGAGGAAACCCGAAAATGTACAAAGAGACACAAATCAACCACAAAGAGATAAACATTTAAAATAACTACAAACATGCAAAGCCACAGAGATGCAGCAGCGACAAAGAGACACAAAACAACAGCAACGAGAGGCTAACTACTAATTTGAAGATTTCTGACGAGTTGCACCTCAGAATGTGTGGGCCATTTCATGACATGTGAACCGTTGCAACTGTATGTATGGGGGGGGACTTGGACTCGGGAGGCAGACAACTGGCTTTTGCTCGTTTGTTGAACTGAAACCTCTCTGGTGGGGAAAGAGCTGGAGTTGAATAAAACGCAGACCAACTACAACAACAGGTGTGTCATAAGTGGTGGAGCCTCTACACGTCTGTGCTCAAGGTCCATAATCCGTCCAGCACTTTATCTTTGCCTGAGACAGTGGTCATTTGTCTTCTTTGGGCTACCAAACAATTTTCTATCAGAGCTGTGTCTTCATGATGTTCCATTTACCTGGACCTGGTCATGTGACCCCAGCATCATTGCCCTTCGACTCGCCTGCTTGCCTCTCCTACTTGAGATCCTATTAACCAAGCAGCATCTGGCAGCCTGTGCCAGCTTAATTGTTGTACTGTTTCCTTTTAGTGAAATAGTGCATAGGTTAAGGGCTTTTATTGTGAAAGGTAAGTACAGACAGTAGGGCTTAGGCTGCTTCTTTCAAGATCAAAAGTAGTGTTCGGACTACGAAGGATGCATGTTGCCCCCGCCCCCCATGTTTACACATTCCACTAATGCAGAGATGAAGACGGCTTCTATTCTAGGAGATGTGTAGTTGGCGTGTTTGTAGGCGTGTAGAAACTCAGCCTCCTTGGACACAAGAAGAATTCCAACCACTATTTGTATGGAACTCAACAGGCACCTGGAGCAGGAAACAACCCTGTGCCCTGTGTCTTCATACCCATTCATACAGGTGCTGGAGCAGTTTGGGGTTGAGTACATTGCCTGAGGACACAGAACCGTCGATTCTCTGATTGAAAGACAGCCCTGTTCTGTACCACAGTCGCCCTATGAGCAAATGAGTCCAACAAAGACGGGACTTGTTAATGTCCATTGTGTAATCATAGTTCCCCACTGACAACTCACATGAGCCGACGAGATGATGTCACCAAGCTCTTCCCAGAACCCAATTCGGTGTTTCTTTCTTATTTGAAGATATCTGACGAGTTGCACCTCAGAATGTGTGGGCCACTTCATGACATGTGGACCGTTGCCACTGTATGTATGGGGGGGGGAACTTGGACTCGGGAGGCAGACAACTGGCATTTGCTTGTTTGTTGAACTGAAACCTCTCTGGTGGGGAAAGAGCTGGAGTTGAATAAAACGCAGACCAAGTGACCATCTTGTGAATCGCAGGGTTTTTCCATGGAGTTGTCACCATTGACCCCAACAGGGGTGTAAATGCAGCACATTGGCCTGCTTTTGGCACGGTTAACACGAGTTACTAGCACATACTGTTGGTTAAGACTGTTGGCGGACAGCAGGGCCACGACAGCTGCCTGCTTTGTCTCTGAAAATATTACCTGGTAACATCATTGAATCCTCGAATGCATGAAAGTGTAAACTTAAATGAGACGTTCAAAAGGATGTCATTACAAAACACACACACACGTTCTCACCATAGTTGAACTGGCTGTTACTCTTCTCACAGTTGATGACATTAAAGCGGTAGGGAACCTCTGCCACCATGTTACTGACTTCAAAGTAGAACCACTGGGTGTGCTGGCTGCTGTTAACATCTGCATTCAATATGAGGTCATATTCCCATCTAGAGAGGAGGAGAGAAGAAGAAAAGCACATAATGCAGTGATAGTAGCACTGTTGAGTCATTTTATTGCTGTGCTTCTCACAGACACAGTGTACCTGCGGACCCGGACAGCCTTCCTTAGGTTCCCACATTCAAACCCTGAGAAAAACCTCAAGGAATCAGATGGACACTGGAGACTGGCAGACAAGGAGACAGAGTGGGCCACATGCATTTGGGGCATGTTATTCATTTTCCCATTTCAGCAAATAAAGAAAGCTGATAAATGAAATGTTCACAATCCAAACGTTAATCTTGTGAAGGTTAATTAAAGTCTGTGCTGTGTGTGTTTATTCTTCTACGTGTACCTACCTGCTGTCTTCCAGGTCAAACACTACCTGGTTGATTATTCCATCAGTAATCAGAAAGCGTTGCACATCCTCAAACACTTTCTGCCTGATAAAGGAAAGCACAGACAGGCATACGCTATTTGAACTGAGATTGTCTCTTCAATATCTTAATAACTACTACGTTTTGTTGGTCCCTGTGGAAAAAAAAGAGTTTTTCTGAGCACAAGAGTCCATTTTTAGTAAACCTTCAACTTCACTGGAGCAACTAGTCAGCGGGCGTTAGAAACAAACAATCTTCAGGCTGAGAAATCAGTTTACAGTTTCTTATGGTAACTTTAAAAACCGCATTGAAGTATTTTTTAATGAGCTGGGTGTAATAAGACGCTTTGATAGAAGTAATGGACGTTTCAGAGGGTTCAATGAAGAGACAGATATGTAAGTTTGATTTTTTTGATAAAGTGCGTCATGGGGAGTACATTATTGGGCGATAATGTACAGCACCTGTTCACATTGACCCGGGCGTTCCATATCACTGCGCGCTCAAAGTAACAGGTTCGATTTTTGCACAATCGTTCACATTTGAGCTTTTAGCTTGGTGGCGATTGCCAAAAAAAACCCAAATGATCGGTTTGATCGGTTTGGGGCAATGCGAACTTTGGCAACCGGACAATTAAGGTGGACGTCATGAGCGATGTGAATGAATGAGATGCTGTGGGACCCGATGCTGTTTACGTGCACGTAGGGGGACTATTTTTCTCTAGACAACGGAAATGAGATAAACAACGTTTGGTGCTACAAATATTTTGTGCTGAAGGGCAGCCATTTACTTACTAATTATGATTTATTTTATAAAAGCAATGAGGTACTTTAGGCAGTACTTATTCGTCCAATAATATAATAATAATAATATAATATATATATTGAGGGTTACTGCCTAACAACACCTCCAAACTGTTACATTATTGGACATAAAGTACAGCCACTCATACCTTGTTGCTTAAGTATAGCACACCTTTGTACGGTGGCTTTTTATGAATAAGGCACAGCTTTTTGGGGCAAAAATATATATCAATTTACTTTTTAAACCCTCACATAATTTCTAGGATGGCGAGAATCAATTGTTAGAAAGATGCAAAAGATTGCAATAATTTAGAAAAAGAAAGAAACATTAGAAAATCTGTCTGATGCTGATTTAATATTTCAATTTCTCCAGCAAACACACAGCGTTAACTCCAGCCTGACCACTCTAGATGTTCTGTTTAACCCAAACTTTCTGAAGATATTTTGGGTTTAAACCCTTTTAGAAACATAGTCAAGGGACTGCAGGAGAACATCTGGGGTCGGAATGACACGGGGTTTGAAAGGTCTCTTGCTTCAGGCCTGATGTCATTCTACACCTCAGACAATTTAGTTACAAAGCAAAAACCCAAATCGCATTAACATTATGTCTGGAAGGGACTGCAAAACCAAATAAAAGCTATTCTTTTCCCTGAAGTGAGCAGCAACAAACAGGAAACAAAACTAGATTAGGTTCAGAGGGAAATTGCATATTTAACATTTTTAAATGTCAGCGTCTGCTGGCCTCCTCGCCGGAGGGACATTAAGAAGACACACAAACACTCTATATACACACAAATAACATAGGTGCTAATGTAAATATTACTCACATGGCCACGGACAATACACACAAGAAAAGGTTCAATAGATCAATGAATTGGAATTACTGCTCCAGGGTCGTATGCCTCCTCCATCATGTGTCATCACTTAATCTTCTTATTTTAGATATTTGTGTAAATTGTCCCAATTAGCATTTCAATGCATGAATTAAGGACAAGAAAATTGGGAGGGAACAGTACATTTGTCCACCTGAGAAATCGGATCCGTTCCTTGAATCCACGTTGGTGCCAAATGTAAAGAATTCTCTCTTGGCTGAAATATCTCTACACATGATGTCACAGTGCAGTTCAACCACCAGAACCTAGACTGAAGACTGTTTGCTGCTGACTTTATTTGAACCAGATTCAAGGATGATGACCAAATTCCATGTATTGATTCATGTTTTGATGACTGTTTGTAATGTTAATTGTTTTCTTTTAGCTTTTTAATGCTTTTATGTGAAGCGTTTTGCCGTTGGAACACGCCACACAAACATACGTGTGCTTCTCCTATAGAGACTATGAAGGTAAACGATCGTTTATCTCTACATGTCATCAATGTTCGTAACCAATGAACCACGACACTTCTCCAGACACCAGGTGAGCGCTGTAACGTACCTCTGTACGTTGGGTTTGCGCGGGGCCATGGGCTCATGTCCTGGCGTCGGGAGGTGCCCCCAGAAGTCGGGGAAAGCCAGGAGGCTGAAGCCTGGAATAGATTTGGTTCTGGCAGCTGCGGCGCGGTACAGCTTGGGCTCGTGATGAGGGATGCAGACGCCATGCTTCTCCAATAACCTGTCTATCATGGAACCATGGTGGGATTCATCTGCATCTTCCTCGTCCTGATCCTCTCCACTCTGAACGCAGGGGGCTTCACCACTATAGGTAAAGAAAAATGTATAACAAAGTATATATACTACGCAGGGGACGAATACTTGCTGCTAAAGGATTTAAAGACACGGAGTATACAAGCAGAGAGACTCAAGATTACAAAGAGACGCAAATTGAACACAAAAACAGACAAATTGACTACAGAGAGACTTTACAACAGTGTTTTCAGTCATTGAGCTAGCTGCTCAATCTTGGCATTACATCCTAACTTGTCCATGGGTTCCATGTGAGGAGAAAAGACAAGTTAAGATAATGGTCAACGATAAATATCCATTATAGTCCATCGCCGATGCTAAAGCTTTATGCTCCAAGTTGTCACTTGACTTCAGTTCGTACAACCAATTCGTCAAATTGCAGAACTGTTGAAAACCAAGTTAGGGTTGACTTAATTTACAAGTGGGACACAAAAAGCGTCCCACTGTCTGTTTGACCTTTCGATCTGTTCACCCACCGCCTGGCCTACCCGTACCCATGAGGACGTGGCAAAAGTGGGGGCACCATGTAGAGATTTCCTCGGAAGAGATTTATTACTTTTAATGACAAATACATTTAGTTCATCGGCTCGAACAGTAACATCAAGACTACCTTTATTATAAGAAAATCAGAATGAAAACGTGCAGCATTGGACCTGACAGAGTGCAACTTCCCTCCAGTGAGAGACTGCCGATAGAAAGGAGACATGCAGGGTTCAGATTGCTGACAGTCACCGGTGGGAAGGAAAGGCCTTTTAGGTTATAGCTTATTGTCAAAGACATGTTAGCCACTGTGGCCCAAAACGACACACGACTTTTCTTTTGTGTTGGTTTGTGTTTGTGTTTTTACAGCAGCAGGGTCCAACGTAGTACTGCTTCTGTATTGGGCCTTCCTCCTCGCCAGCAGGTTTAGTGGTAGGACCTGGTCGGGGGGGGGGGTCTCAGTGTTGACTACCAGCTGAGAGATGAGGTGTTCTAAGTGGAACGGGTCGAGGCCAGTGTCCTCGATGAGTTCTTACAGCCTCGTTCCCTTCTGCCTTCAGATGAATTGTTCCTTCATCATTATCACAGCGTGACAAATACCTAATGCTTATACATCCGTGCCGAGAGAATATTGAGTGTGAGCGTACCTTGCCTCTCTAACCTTGGTCCTGAAGCTGGGGCCGGTGCTGAGGATGCTTCTGTGACTGTGGAAATCACGGGCTTCTAATTGGGCAAGAGCTGGGGAGAGATTGAGAGAAAATTGGTCATTTGAATGGTCTCTTTTCCACAAAAGGAGTATGAAATCATTTGCATTTTTATCTGATCAATAGCTGGCATTAGGACATTAAACATATTATAAATATTCCAGAATAATATTTTGCTATTTCTATTTAGAATATCAGCATTCATTTCCAAAGACATCTGGATCTAAAGTACAGTTCTTCTTATTAAACAGACATTGTTCATTTATGGTATGAAGGTGGTTTTGTATTAGCTGCTGTGCATAACCATTTTAATCTTCCACAGCTCCACTAAAAACACCTCCAAAGCTCACCTGGACTAAATGAAACTAACAGCACTGACGTGGTGGAACATGTAGCAGCTAAAGAGACAAATGCTCCCCTCAGATGTTGGTGGCGACCAAAAACAAATAACTTTTTGAACTGACAATTTCATCCTGTTATATATATATGTATGTATATATATATGTTATATATGTCATGTCATATACGTTTCTGTAGAAGAAAAGTTTGTTATGCAAACGTCGTTGGAGGTATATCAGTGGCCTTTAACCAAAAGTTAATGCAAAATTTGAAATAGTGTCCGAGGCTGCACACGAATGGGACGGACGTGGCGTCTACAGTGAACTCGATGTACGACCACCAACATTGCTGATAATTAGGAGATAATTTGCATCATTTTTTCAGAAGAGGTTATGCAGTTATTCAGAGCCATCTGCAAGTGGGTGATCTCGTCTTCATCTTAAAATTAATAGGAAATTTGCCGCCTCTAACCAGCTGTGTGTCCCATAGGGTCTGACGCTGACGAAGAGGTGGAGGAATCGCTCCACCCACCGTCTGTCCCGGAGAGGTGAGACTGTGAACCGTTGAGCAGCGCAGCGTCCCCGTCTGATGTCGATGATGCCGCTGAGCTCTTCTCTGGCTCAGAACACAAACCCAGCTCCTGTGGGACACAAATGTTTTAGGTTGAACTTAAATTATATTGTCTCATATGGGTATTTCAGGATGTCAGGAGACCTCAAGAACACTCCAGATATCGAGGAAAAGTTACATTTCATGGTTATATCCAAAGAATTAAAGTTAGTAAGTTAGCCATCATTTTATTTTAAAACATCGTAAAAGGTCAAATGAAAACTTCCTAATTCTATTTGTTGTCAGATTCAATTGAAATCTGTACATTTTGTGTACAATGTTGTGTGGCAGCACGATTTGAAGTACCAGCTGTGGCCTGCTGCACAGTGTTACGGACCTGCCGGCTCCTCCTCCTCGTTTGGTCTATTTGCATCTCCCCTACAGGTGTGACGGGTTTCCTATGATTCCTTCCAGGAACACCTGGGATGGCTTTAGGTATCCTGAGGGGTTTAAAAGCTGGGGAGACCTGGTGGAAGGGGGGCTGCCGCTTGTCCTTCTCTCCCGCACTGTTTTGCTGATTTTGTTTCCTTTTACATGACTTTTCATATACCCTGATTTCATACGCTTTCAGTTCTCCTGACTAACACTTGTACTGACTTTATTTACTTTACGTTGCTCATTCGTTGTCCTTAATAAACGGTATTTTCTTTCAATCAACTCATCCGCGTGGTCTTCCCTCTCTGTTGCATGGCCAGGCACAGGCAGAATGTAACAACAGCTTATTAGTTTAATCCTATATTTGCCATGAGGAAAATTATATAAACTCTTTTTACACATGTATATTCATTGGCTCCTGGAGGATGTCAAGTTATTCCAGGTCAAAAGGTTAAACGTCAGCAGTATAAACACACACACAAAGATATGTTTTATATATATATATATATATGCAACTCATCATCTTTAACTATCTGTTAGGCACAATTTGCCAATGAGCTTAAAAATCTCATTTGAAATTTGAGCAGTGGAGCTGACAGACTGTTCTACATGTGTAATTTGCTTGTTCCGGGCCCCCAGGTGTCTGAGAGTCTCTGAGCAGCTGCCTCAGGCCAGCGCTGCCTCTGCTCCACGAACCTTGAAGTGTGAAGCTTCTGTTCCTTATAAAGTGAATATCTGAAATGTGAGTTGCAAATGGATTCCAACCTGTGTGTTTTTCTCTGTTGGACATGTGTCTGGACAGCTCAGAAATGATCTTAAGGAGTAAAACGTCAAACGTCTTTCATTTTACTTTAGTGTTCATGTCCGTCTTTGTGCTATAGTGCCTTGCAACACCAAATGGAAATCACCGCTACCACCCACACTATTTGAAGCTACCAGCACCGGGACGCCAGCTCATAGCTACAATCCTCAACCTCTCCAACCAGCTTAGCCAGAGCACCCAGCACCGAGATGCTGGGGCCCCGCTCTGCAATTTCTCAACTACCGCAGCAGCAGCTTCAGCCAGGATTCATAGAACCGTAGTTACATACCTAACTTTCGTTCTATTTCATCCTTGCTGACCGCCAGAGGCAGTGCTTCACACTGGATGACTTATATCAACAGCCACGAGTCACGAGGATTACAAGTAACCACCTCGTATTCCGCACTTCCCTGCCCTGACCTTGCCTCTCCTGCTATGGGTAGTGGTCTGAGAAGGGCTAGGGTAATTCCCGTGTTGACCTTGAGGCCCCACCGAGCCACGTGAGAGGAGCTAAGCAGTGTCCTGTGGTGCCAGGCTGGCCACACTTAGCCAATTGCCTAAGTGCAGCAGTATCTTTCGCACTGCAATTACGGGAGGAAAGGGCGGCAGTAACGCATCCTGTAAGCACCCATGGAGAGTGTTAAGGAGCTGGGGCCACAAGGACCTGGACTCAAAAGCAGACCGAAGGGGAGGTGGTCAGGGTCAAAAAAACAATGTCTTTACTTCAGGCAGGGGTTTGGTACACGGGTAGTCATACAGTGAAACGAGCGGTAGGGTGAATGACAGAAAACACAACAGAAAACAAACAGTGACCTAACACCCTGTCAGGGTGTTACAGAGAGGGCCCGAATGGAAGCCCTCTGGGCACTAAATAAGGTAGCTGCCTGTGGTGACGCACCCTGGAACATGACAGAGGTTGACGGACGTGAACCACTCTTCCTTGGAGACAAAACACAAGTGCAATGGCAACACTGCAGGACTTTGACTTCACGTCGGTGACTGTACATAGTCAGAAGCCGCTCTTTTCTACAAGAAGGTAGGTGCAAGTATTACCCGCACGGTTTGTGACAGGGGGTCCAGCCTCAATAGTTCCCCAGCCAGGACCTAACTCCTGGCTCAGGCTAGGGATTTTGCAGGTACGGTGATGTTGGTTACTGCGACCCGGCTGGAAACGAGACAAATTCAGCTGCCGGACAAATGATCTGTATAGTTTATCACAATGCATTGAGATATAAAGCATAGCTTTCTTCACTATGGGAAAAATAGTATGCGTTCAACAGCACCCGGCGTATTCGCTGTGGGAACAGAGTATGTAATAATCAGGATTTTTTTGGGAATCTGGGGATTTCCTTTTTTTTTTACTTTTTTATCCTCATGATATATTCTGGTGAATTAGCATGAATGTGATTCCTATGAGTCAGATATTAACACATTTGTCATCAGTCAAGTCAGATGGTATCCTGTGGTTTATGACATGAAACATTATCATGGACCGAGACCCTCGTTCATTATCTCCCATTTGTCTCTGACATAATCTATTTCTGTCTTTCTTTAACACACATGCACACACACTCCAACATTCAGGAGGATCAAGACAGGCCTACATTGCAATTGTGATCCCGCCAGCGGATTGTCTGTCTGTCCACGGCTAATCTTGCACACTGCGCAGCACATCAGGGGGGCATTGCACAAAAGTAGAATCTAATATCATCATCTAATATACAAAAGGGAAAACGGCAGCTGTAATTAAACAGAGAAAAGGCCTGGCAGACAATCACGGACCGACTGAATGCGGAAGGATTTAAAAACATTCTAAATATCTTTCTAAAATTACTGTTCTTACAGAACAAACAAGTCAAGATCAAATAAACACATTTTGCAGGCTGGTAAGTTTGCAAATGGTGTAGAAATGACTTACAAGATGCCTGCCCACATATTTTATGTTTATGTTACCTGCAATCTTGTGGAAATCCTCTTTGATGTAAAAAATTCTTCTGTGGCCAGGAAAGGTAATACGGATGTGTGCCAAGGACTTCAGTTCCAAACACACACTTCTGACAGTACGGCAAATAGTGCTTTTATTTACAGGTTCGGCATATAAAAATATGCCGCTTGCAAAAAAGCGCATAGAGACATCTGTGGGATGGTGAGAGCTTCACGTTGGTATGATCTGACCCCAAACATCCTCTCACACGTCTCAATACGAGTGCTTCTTCGTCCAAAACGTCGTTCATAATGGGCATCATGGTGCAGGAAGGAACACAGGTGAATGGGACTATATATATCGCCCTCAAATGTTAAACAAGTCATTTCCTGCCTCTCGCTCTCTCTAATCAGCAATCATCAGGAGTCATGATGGTGATCAGTATGCAGATCACTCTGAATGCTTCCTTTCTTCTCGCAGGCCTTCTTCCTTAGACGTAATCTTACATTAATGCTCCCAAACTATTTAAAAATCAACATGACAAGTTAATCAGTCGCTAACATCCATCCATCTTCAGCCGCTTATCTGGGGTCGGGTCGCAGGGGCAACAGCTTCAGCAGGGGACCCCAAACTTCTCTTTCCCGGGCCACATCTACCAGCTCTGACTGGGGGATCCCAAGGCGTTCCCAGGCCAGTGCAGAGATATAATCTCTCCACCTAGTCCTGGGTCTTCCCCGGGGCCTCTTCCCAGCTGGCCGTGCCTGGAACACCTCCCTAGGGAGGCGCCCAGGGGGCATCCTCACCAGATGCCCAAACCACCTCAACTGGCTCCTTTCAACGCAAAGGAGCAGCGGCTCTACTCCGAGCTCCTCACGAATGTCTCTAAGGGAGAAGCCAACCACTCTCCTGAGGAAACCCATTTCGGCCGCTTGTACCCGTGACCTAGTTCTTTCGGTGATGATCCATCCTTCATGACCATAGGAGAGAGTAGGAACGAAGATTGACCGGTAGATCGAGAGCTTTGCCTTCCGGCTCAGCTCTCTTTTCGTCACAACGGTGCGGTAAAGCGAGTGCAATACCGGAGGTCACAGACAGAAGATGCCATCAGGACCACATCATCCGCAAAAAGCAGCGATGGGATCCGCATGCGACTACGCATTGAAATCCTGTCCCTGAAGACCACAAACAAGATTGGTGACAAGGCGCAGCCCTGGCGAAGGCCGACCCCCACCGGAAACGCCTTCGACTTCCTGCCGAGCACCCGAACACAGCTCTCGCTTTGGGTGTACAAGGATTGGATGGCCCCAAGCAAGGACCCCCTCATCCCGTTCTCCCGCAGCATGTCCCACAGTTTCTCTCGGGGGACCCAGTCATACACCTTCTGCAAGTCCACAAAACACATGTAGCCTGTATGAGCATACTCCCAACCACCCTCCACGGTCCTGGAAAGAGTAAAGAGCTGGTCTGTTGTTCCACAACCAGGACGAAAACCGCATTGTTCCTCTTCAATCCTTGGTTCAACTATCGGCCGAACCCTCCTTTCCAGCACCTTGGAGTAGACTTAGTGTGATACCCCTGTAATTGGCACACACTTTCCCCTTTTTGCTCTCTTTCCAGAGATGCTTTTAGCATCTCTGGACGGAGCTCATCAATCCCCGGGGCTTTGCCACTGCAGAGTTGTTTGACTACCTCAGTGACCTCCACCAGGCCAATTGATGATGACCCCTCCTCCGCCTCCAGCTTTGCCTCTACCAAAGAGGGCGTAGTAGTTGGATTCAGGAGTTCCTCAAAGTGTTCCTTCCACCCCCCGATAACCTCCTCAGTCACTGTCAACAGGGTCCCTGTACACAGCTTGGATGGTTCCCCGTTTCCCCCTCCTGAGGTGCCGGATGGTCTTCCAGAAGCACTTTGGTGCTGACCGAAAGTCCTTCACCATAGTTACCCCGAACTCCTCGCATACTCGCTGCTTTGCCTCCATCACAGTCGCTAACAAATATTTTTAAGTTTGCTTCCGGGAAGACCCAACACTTTGTCTCTCCCAAATAGTCTGATACCAACAATGGATTAGTGTCGGTGGAAAAACATCTACCTTACCTCACCACCAATTACCTCCAATACAGATTATTTAGCTGATGCTTTTATCCAAAGCGACTTACATTGCATTTAAACCCTTGGCTTTTTACATTTTTGAGCAGTTAGGTCGACATGGGGTTAGATCTACTCTTCCACACAGCCGGGGCTCAAACCGCCAACCTTGCGACTTTGAGCGCACCCTCTCTACCTCTGCGCCACCGTGAACTACATTCACTGAACAAAACCCAGGCAATTTGATGTTGAAATTCTTTGATTTAAAATGCATTCATACTGATCTTACAACCTCTCTGCTCTGTGTTCAGTAGTTTAGTCTGAGTGTGGTTTGAATAAATGGTTTATTTCGGACAACAGTTTAATCAAGACATACAGAATAAAAAGTTATGGGTTCTGGCGCTGTTTAAGAAACTAGTTTACACAACACACACACAAACACATCTGTACCTGGAAATCATGTGAGAGTTCAGGACAGAGGCGGCTGTACTGTGGCAGCAGCTCTTTGGGTCTGTCTGGGTCAGGGCGAAGTCGAAGTTTGTGGAGATCTGTTTCCAAATCTTCATCCTGGACAGTTACAGACATACGCGTCACAACAGATGGAGGGAAAACAGTTACATGGTTAAAGAGAGTTGTTGAAAAGGGGGCCAGACAGTCCTGGGTGTAGAATGGAACCAGGCCTGGTCAGAGATTATAGATGTATGCTACTTTATCCATGAGAAGATGGACGGTATGATCGATAACAAGCTTTCAGGACATGCTGCTGGAGTAGTCCCACTGGGAACAAATAAGCTAGGAAGAACAAATACGCGACTGCCATGTTGCAAACGGGAACGTGAAACTTAACGTTGTAATTTGAAACAAACCAAATATCGGTCTAGGCAGCTAGACTGCTTGGTTAGGATGAGGAAAGAGATCGTAGTTTGGCTTGAAACAAGAGTTTGTAACGTTACATATAAAAGTTGGCCGTAGTCAGGTACATCATTTACATTAAACAATACATAACTTATATGGGGGCAACTGTGGAGAGCAGGTCGGCCTTCCTCAGAGGTTGGATATTTGGCGGTGCTAGTGTGTCAGTCGGTGTGTCCTCGCACATGACACTTGACTCAGAATTGCTGTGATTTTTGTGTTCCTCAATCCCATAGCCTACATTCAGAATGCAAAGTTTAAAATATCGAGTCAGGTAACCAGCATGGTGTAACAGCAACCCTGGACCTCACAAAATGAAAGGCACAAACCCAGTAGCCACACACACTTACAAAGTCGGCCTCCTTGCTGTCTTCAGCCTCGTTGTCGTCCTCCTCAGTCTCCTCACTGTTCTCATCTGGATGCAACAGGAAAAGAAAGCCGCCGGGGTCAGTATTCTACACGTGTGTTTGTTTGGGAGAAGTTATACTTCTGACGGGGAACTCATCACTGCTCTGATTGGAAGGAAAAGCGACGGTACGTTAACATGATGAGATACTCATACACACTTTTTTTTATCTTCACATCTGTAAAGTTACATAGCAATTTAATTAAAATAACTTGACAGCTCTTCAGTCAAACAGAACAATAAAAAAATTCAAATATTGGACTACATTTTATGCAAAATGCATTTAACAGTCCATGAAAAAAAAAACAAAGTGGGCTAAACAAAGAAATGCAACTTGAGCAGATAATTCAGTCTTACTGTCTTGTGCTAGCTAACCCACCGCCGCTCTTACGGCAGAGACCGTGATGAAACCCGCCCCCGATGGCGCTGAACATAGCAGGTCAAATGCTAACTTTGTTGGAACAGTTCCCGGTTGTTCCAATGATTGTGCTGTTAACCGTATGGATGCCATTCCTTAATCTAGGTGACTTGACAACTTCCATTCTAAATGTTTTTACCTTAATTATTTCAACAAAACTTTCAGTTGCCGTGTGATCAGTCCGCTTGTCTGGTTCCAGCTTACCATGAATTTATATATTTATCATCAAGCGATCAAAAGGTCGTGAATACTGTACCTGGTTCGGCGTCCATAGCAGGCACAGCGTGCGCCCTTCCTGGCATGGGGAAGGAGTACGCAGACCGGTCGGAGGTCAGTGGAAGAGGTGTTTTAGTAAGACACTTTCTCATCAGTTGCACAGAGGGTTCCACGAGAGACTCCAGGTCTTTACTCAGCAAACATGTCTGCAGAGAGACAAACACAGTCAACAGAATGTAAAGAGGATTAATGTGATGTAGTAACAGGAGAGACATCCAGCAAATCCTTTTCTTAGTGCAATAAGATCGAACCTCCGATAATTACACTTTTGTCCAGCTTCATTTCTACTTTGTGTTGCATTGTGGGACAGGATGTTTATTAATAAAACCCTGCTGATTCAAGAACTGCTAGTCATAGGATGGAACAAATAGCTTCATTGATGTGTTTTCCAAACATGCAGAATTAATCAATTCAACCACTTACAAAGAGAAGTGGGAAGTAAAAAAGGATGATTGGAACTTTACCTGTGTCGTTCCGTACAGTAGTCGGATCCCTCCCTGGGATACGAACGCCTGTCTGCCCGCAGTACTGTGAGTGACCTTATGGAGGCAGCGCAGCAGTGAGTGGCAGATCGCCACGGCACCGTGTTGGACTGCTTTGGCGTGCCAGTCCTCGTAAAGCCGCAAGAGGCCAGCGACGTAACCCTTGGATACCACCGAGCAAACGTTAGCCTCTGTGGGGGGAGACAGAAAAAGGAAAGGGACATGGGCTGAGCAAACTCAAGGCTGCTTACAGATCTGGAGTCCGAGCTACGTCTGTCCGTTTGGCAACACAACTTGACCAATGGATTTCCAACTTTTTCAATTAGGCACCAAGAAAGTCAGTTTTTTTATGTTTACAATGATCCACTATGGATGAGTATCGTTTGGGTTTTTTCCCCCAAACGAAACTATTAAAACATACCGGTTCCTGAACCAATACTTTTTTTCTTTCTTTTTTTACTTCAAATTATGGACAATATATGAAGGGTTAACAGTTTACAGTATACGTACAGTCTCTGTAAGAGCCGAAAGATGTATTACTTCATTGGAATTTTGGGAATATTAATCATTTAATTTATGCTCACTGTGCAGGAAATATATGTAACATATATTGGAAGCATTCATGTTGGATTGACGCTCTTTGTGTGTCTCAATGTATTGACGTCTTGAATGCAGCAGGTGCAACACAGAAGAGCTGCATGAGGCACGAGAGCATATCTACAGGGTGACAGAATGTATTAAAATTCAGTCAGGAAGACTGGACAGGCTGTGCCGTTCCCTGGGGGCCTCCTCTCTCCCTGGGGGCGCACAGCGAGCTGATTAGGGGCGGGGGTGGGTAGTACCAACTAACCAGACGTGGGTGTCGTTACCGCAAACCAATTGCATCGGTGTTGCCGTAAACTCTGAAGGTCCGATTGGACGTCAATCGAATGCAGAGGAATTAGCTCAACAATCAGAGCCGGCGAGCAGCCCGGCGAGCATCAGGTGTAGTAGCACGCAGAGTGGTAGACTCCTAAAATAATCTGGTCTAACATGACCCGTTTGCAGTTCCAAGAAGTAGGTCTGTCAGTTGACCCACCAACCTGGGATCCATTTAGGTTTGTGGTCTCACGTGACCAGTCCAGCTGACTTCAATGGAGATATTGCGGGCTAACGTGACCAGTTGAGCTAACACCATTTATTTCTAGCCTAACGCGACCTTATAGCGGACCCGTCACGCCTCATGGATATGGGGAAGCAAGAGTCAGCATATCTCTTAAAACTGGGGTCATGAACAGAGTGGTGATTTTCTTGGCTACGGCAGTCGCAAGGCATTTGCTGATGGCTGCTGCATCTTTGCTAGTGTTCTGCGTTTTACCTACCCTATCTTCGCAGGTTGTGCACCAGCAGTCGAGTTAGATGTTCCCTTCCTGAGTTCTCTGAACACTCGCCCTAGCGTCACATCACTGTGGCAGGTTGCTAACTGTCTCTGCAAATTCCCGTCTCCAGACGTCCTATCGCTGCCCATGCTACTCCGGACTGTGGCCCGTACTGGCAGCTCTGCTAGAGGTGGTCCTACACACGGCCAATACGGAGGCGCTTGCCTTGAGTGGTGACTCGCACTGATTGCTGCCGTGCTGGTTTTAAATCTATGCCACAATATCTCCATGTGGAACAACTGGATCCACTTCCCCCATTATTCTCAACCTAGAAAAACTGCTAGAGCTGCAGCAGCTAACCAAGGCATCCCAGTGACAAGCCGGCAGCCGATAGGGCCGTCATGGTGGGCGTCATCTGCTGTGACGTTCCACCTCCGGCCTGACCATAAGACTGGACTCTCAAAGCAAGATCCTTGAAGCTGTAAAAGAGCTGATAAGCATGCATATAACTGGTGGCGGTGGTGTATTCCCTTCTGGCTATGTTGAAAAGTCACTTCAGTAGTCGTAGTTCCTTACAGTCTCCCTTAGAAAATCTAATTTCCTAGGTGGACGTGACCTGGTTTAACGTGTCTGTGTTTCCTAGGTTTAACGTTACCTGGCTTAATGTGTCTTCCTGGTCTCACAGGACCACATCAATTTCCCAAAAAAGATGTCCGTATGGACCCGTCAAGCTGACAACACTCTGTTTCGCGGTCTCACGGGACCAGTTAAGCTGACTACCTTTCCATTTTGTGGTCCCGCGATCGGTCACTCTAGATAATAGCTAGTTGCCCGGTCTGAGCTGGACCCGTCAAGCGACGGAGTTCTGTTCAGCGGGCGAAGCGGATCAGTCAAGGACACCGGCCTGAGCGAACCCGGTTAAGTTGTTCTGTGAGGGAGCCCTCCGCAACTAAGTATTCTGCGGTCTCCCTTGACCCTGACTGTCCTGTTCTGCGGTCTGCTATGACCACCCCTATCTTGTCTGCAGACTTACACGACCACAACCTGTCCTTGTCTTCGGTCAACCTTGGCCCCTCACCTATCCTATCTTTTACTTTGGGATCTGCTGAAATCCCACCATGCCCTACTGTGCTCCAGCTAGACCCTCCTCATGTCCTGCAGCTTCCCTTGCCGTCCTTTTCTTGTTAACCTTGGCCTCTATAGTCTCAGCCCCACGTGACCCACTATATGTCCCCTTGTGACACCAGCTCCGGATTGAAGTCTGGCTAGGACCCTCAGTTGCCGAAGGATTTCTGTAGTAGCTTCGCTAGCAGTTGCCCTCTGATGGGGTTTCTGTAGTAGCTTCGCTAGCAGTCGCCCTCTGATGGGGTTGGTGTAGTAGCTTCGCTAGCAGTCGCCCTCTGATGGGGTTTCTGTAGTAGCTTCGCTAGCAGCCGCCCTCTGATGGGGTTTCTGTAGTAGCTTCGCTAGCAGTCGCCCTCTGATGGGGTTTCTGTAGTAGCTTCGCTAGCAGCCGCCCTCTGATGGGGTTGGTGTAGTAGCTTCGCTAGCAGTCGCCCTCTGATGGGGTTTCTGTAGTAGCTTCGCTAGCAGTCGCCCTCTGATGGGGTTGGTGTAGTAGCTTCGCTAGCAGTCTCCCTCTGATGGGGTTGGTGTAGTAGCTTCGCTAGCAGTCGCCCTCTGATGGGGTTTCTGTAGTAGCTTCGCTAGCAGTCGCCCTCTGATGGGGTTGGTATAGCAGCTTCGCTAGCAGTCGCCCTCTGATGGGGTTGGTGTAGTAGCTTCGCTAGCAGGATATCTGCTTCCTTTTAGCACGGCTTGTTAATGCCGCTCTCCCATGTTTGAAATATCTGATGTTCTGCCTAATGTATCTACTTACGGGTCTTTGTTGTAATTCATGACATGCACTTTTCCTTATGTAGCCAACGACGGTTAAATCTACACTTCCCTGCACAGTGGATGATTCCTGAGCTACTGTTTTAAGGCCACCAAACGTTTCAGTTAAGGTACGTTCACACAACGGCAGTGCGAATTATTTGCGCTGCGAGTATGAGAGCGCCCTGCTCATATTTTAAGAGCCTCTCTTTAAAACCATATGAATTATTTCAAACGTATCTTTTCCATTTCCATGACTTTTCCAAAACTTTCAGTATTTTTTTCACTATGACTTTTCCAGGCCCGGAAATGACCACTTTAAAATTCCATGACTTTTCCAGGTTTTCCATGACCGTATGAACCCTGTCTGACCCACGCATGAATACCTCGCAATATAAAAACTGTACACAGCTCAGATAGAGCTGTGGCAATAACTAATGCTGCTCTGCGTTCTGTATCTCTCTGTAACTACAGTTCCATGTCTGCAGCACTGAGTATCTTCCCGCAGGCCACAGAAAAGCACATGTTTTGTTAACTGTCCACTCTTCATTGTCCATTGGTCCATTGGTATGTATTTAAATGTCAATGCCAGTCTGTACAAAACATGAACTCCTTTTAGTGCTTACACAGTACAAATGCCGCTCTCTTCACTGGTACCGGTGGCTCATCCAGTTCTAAACATGGTGCTCACGTACCATGCTGTGAATGGATGGGGTCCAGCTTACATCCAGGACCTGGTCCAACCCGACATCCCGACCCGCACTCTCCGCTCTGCATGTGATAAACTGCTTGTTCCTCCTCACTGAGAGCAAAACACTCCACTAGATCTCCACTCTTTGCTGTCTTGCTCCTAAATGGTGGAAGGAGGTCTCTGAAGACATCAGGACCACAGAGAGCCTTCACATCTTCAGACTAAAGACACACCTCAGCACTTAAATGGTACTTGTAACATCACTCATCTATAGCAAGTTGTAAATTGGCTTATTTGAGGAAATTTGTTCTTGTTCTTCTGAGTTTGTACACTATGGTTGAAATGCACTTATTGTAAGTCGCTTTGGATAAAAGCGTCAGCTAAATGACACGTGATGTAATATAAAAAGAGATAGTGTTCAGCGTCATGTCACCCCTCGGGTTGTAGATGGCCATTTTGAAGCCTTGAGTTAGAATCACGAACCATAAGTGACCTGAGAGGGTGGAGGGGAAACACCAGAGCGCTGAATGAAACATTTTGGGGCAACACAAAGGTTCAAATGAACTTTCATGAAGTGAATACACACTGTGAAGGGAGCGGACTACGCCTTGGTAGCGTCCTGTCCAACAAGCGAGGGACTAAAGAACAGCTTTTCATGCGAAGGGTGAGTGCGGCGGGTACATTTATACAGCATCAGAAAATGTTTTTGGAATATTAAAGCGTGTTGTAAAAAAGAAGCCCGAACTACTAGTACAAACCTGAAGATTAGGATCATATATCTACTTTAAAGAACGCAAAATGTTGTGTGGAGCATTTAGTGTCTTTGGAGTTCAAATAAGAGACAAGCATCTGGAGCTATTTAATCTCTAATGCTGCGTTCACACCAAGAGCAAAGCGAATTTTCCAGTTTCCTGTACAATCAGAAGTCAAACCAATCCTCGACAAATACAGCTGTACTACGTCTAATAAACGTCATCAGAGGACGAGTGTTCGATTAAACGAGCTCCCAGAACAGTTTGGGATCAGGGAGAGAAACAGCTTTCAGAGTACCGAAGGGTCGCCGGGACCCAAAACATAGTTCAAATCTACAAGTACGACTCGATCGTAGCAACATTGTTGCCTTTATGTTCACTCCAAACACTGCATGACGGATGAAAGGCAAACGCTGAGAGGGGCTCTGTGCCGCGTTCGGGTTTATGAGCGGATGCGTTGCCCTTGATGTTCTGTGCAAATTGGCACTTTGACAGATTTGCACAGATCATGAAAAGAAGCTCGGAGCCTTCTGAACCTTTCTGGCGGCCTCTGGAGGAGTGAACCCAAGGATTACAGCCACAAACTGTGTACACAACAGGAAAAGAAAAAACAACAAGAAAAGACAGCGGGAGGGACGAGTAAAGCGTCTTATTCCCAAAGTCACACTTCACTGCTCTGATGCTGTGAGAGGTTCATTTTCTGAGTCAGAATGGGCTTTATTGCCCCTACATGTATGAATAAGCATACGTGTTTCCATTGCGCTCCACATACTGCACCGTTTCATTTTTTATCCAAAAGATAAAAACAAGGACGACTCAAAAAGAGACATTTAGCAACTTAATAAGAAAGTGTCAAACTTTTGACTAAAGACCGAAGTGAGTGACTGTCACGCTCAATGCGAGACACTTGAGAGCACGACATTATTGTTGGTCATCTGCGTAAATGTTACTGTTGATGACATTATAAACAGACCCCCGGGCCCCCCTTAAAAAACAGAACTCTTTGGGTCTGCACGATTCACACAAGTCGCCCAAACTGACGTGAAAAAGCGGGAGGCTTAACAACCAAACCTGAAGTGATTAGTTTGGAACAGAAACAACAGTTCTATTTCAGCATAATGCATTGTTTAAATTCATGTGAAGAAATGTGAAAATCTAAAGGGCAGAATTCGGCTTGTGTGTCTTGCTCCGAGGAACTGAAGAAACCGACTTTTGTGCTGATCTGATGATATCAAAGAACATCAAAATTCCTCGCAGCCTCAGCGGCGCGCTAACCAACGTCAGGCTCCAGCCTTGCAGAGAGAAAGAGGCCTGTGGGGGGGTCGTGTGCAAAACCAAAAGACAATATGGAGATGTGTGTGTTTACATACACTGTGAGACTAAATGAGCATAAACAGTCAAATGTGCACACACACGCACACACCATGACATCAGTCAGCTGCTCAGCCTGCAAATGCCCCACAACCGGAGACACGGTGCGTTAGTGCCCCCTGCAGGGAAACCTGAAGCAGTACAGGGAGGCGTTCTGCAGACGGGGGGAGAGGAGCACTTCCCTCACAGCAGAAGTTTGCACACAAGACTCGTGAGAACAGAGGACATGCTTCTCCATCTATTGCCCCTCACTAGAGGTCTGCCGTCCAGAGGAGGACTGAAAAAAAGGGAGCGAGGACACAAAAGGGACAGAGGGAAAGGAGAAGAGGACCAAAGGAGAGGAGAGAGGAAAGGAGAATACTAAATGTATGGATGTCAGCAAAATGAAAGGAGAGGGAAGAACTTATTAGGGAAGAAACTGATGAAAGGGACGGTGGGAAAGATGAGGGGAGGTGAGAGGAAAGGAGGAGCAGGAAAAGATAAAATGAAAAGGATTGAACAGGAGAGAGGAAAGGGACAAAGGGGGAGAGGATACATGATCCGATACAAAGGGAGGAAAGGACACAGGAAAAGAGGAAAGGAGAGCAAAGATGAGTACGGTCGTACCAGTGTGGACATCAAAGAGCCCTGAGACCTGTGGACATGTAAGACGTCCTCTGACCTGTTGGCGATTGTTTGACTATTTGACCTGCTGAGGCGTCTCTTCCTCCTGCACACAGCAAAGGGGACACGGGCCCCTGTACTTCACAGCAGGGTGTGAAAAGGCTTTGAGACGGTCAGCGACCACCGAGGGGTCGAGTCATCGCTTCCATCAGTCGCGTCAAACTGCACTCTTAATGTACCGTAGCGAGTGTCTTAAACTGCTGGATGAACAAGTCAATGGAAAGAAAGACAACGGTTATTTTCCCTTCAACATTCCAAAAAGAGGCAGGATCTATAACAGGTATTTAAAAGTGCTTCAAGGAGAGAAACATTAGGTCCAGAGCTCCTGTTTAAGCGTTTCATTTGCTCAATATTTGCAAAATAAAGAAAAGCGCTTTACACGTTTCTTGTTCCGTAGCTGAATGGAGTCACAACACGCAAATGAAATCCGCCGCTTCCGCTGCCGTCCGAGGCGCTTCTCAAATGCCGGTTTGCATCATGGGAGTTGTGTTCAAACGCTGTTTTGGGGGGTTAGAATCCAAGGAGAAAATGTGCCGGTGCCATTGGTGTGTGTGTGTGTGTGTGTGTGTGTGTGTGTGTTTGTGTGTGTGTGTGTGTAGAAGAATTGGCCTCAAACAGGCACCACCGGCCCCCAGACAAAGGGTGTGGGTCTGCTTGTGTGGTGAGATGGTGATGATCAGCTGGCGGCTGATGACACACTTACTTGTACACAGCAGAGCAGCGAAGGCATCGACTGCTGCCCTGGAAAACAAACAGAGGGGGGCAGTTGGTCTCGTAGGCATTTTAATTTACACACTTCAACATGCAAATTGTACACGATACAATAGAGTGCAAATGAGAGGGACACGTGCACAGCAAATAGATTTTATCATACAGTGGGCATGAATTCTTGATGTATTATTTTTGTAAGTGAGAAAACCTGCAAAATCGGCAGTGTATCAAATACTCCCCACTGTAGATTATGAGTTACTAGCAGTCCAACGGAGGGGAAGTGCTGTTGACAAGTGAGAATGTATGGACAGATGTAGTTGTACAAGTGACTGACTGACTTTTACTGCTTTAAAAGTGTGCACTGCAGCCAAGCGGCATATCTAAGGGTTGGCATAGCGTAGCTAGAATTGGATAAATCACTGTGACAGACGTGTCTAACTGCCGCTCACTCGTGGGGGAAATAGCATATCTCCTTCCTCGTTGCTCCACTCGCATCACAGACGTTCACAGCTGCCAATTCTAACAAATTATCCAAAGTACCAGGCAGCTTTGAAATCTGGAATCCCAGAGTCTTCTAATTGTGTTACGACAATTAACAGCTGGCTTCTGCATGGGAACGATACAGAAGATTCACCCTGAGGGCTATAAATTTGTGTCAGAGCATCCGATTCCCTCACGCCGCCGGGGAGTTTCATGTTCATCAGTAGCTGGTATGCCTGGGTCGGAGCCAGCGGAGAGAGGCCCGTACTCCTGAAGCTCTTGGCATGTCCCCACTGGGTATACTGGAGGATGCAGCTATGTGAGCCAAATGCCATCACTTCTGACAGAGACAAATGGGAGGGAGGCGTATACGAGCCAAGGGGAGAAGAACGCTGACTTGAGTAAGAGCTGCAGTCTACGTACGAGATCAGGGGGAAACATGATGTGTAGAGACCAAGAAAATAATCATGTTATTATGTTTCCCTGTAAACTGTACTCCTGCCAGTTAGAAGCAGTGAATCTCCATGCACAGAGAGTGACCCTGGACTTCCATAGTGGTTCATTTCTGTCCAAGCGGCCTGCATGCAAAGTCATATAACCGTTACCTGGTAACTCTGGTAACTTTTGTGTATTGGAGCAAAATGTTTCTTCTTGAAATTGTGCATTTGGACCAATGCACGAGTTAGCAAATTGTACAAACTGTGTGGTTTTAGCAGGTTCATTTTGTAAAAAGGGTGTTGAATTTGTATGCGGTATGCGGAACTAGTTATTTACCATAAATAAATAAGACTGGGTTGAGATGCCCACCGTATTCTTTTGACTGCAATATGTGTATCGTGCTTCCGCCACATATAGATGACCAGAAGAAAATGTACTAAAAAAGTTTAATAAACGTGAAGCATACAAACGCAAAGTGTAATAAGGACACAGGGTCTTTTAGTTACTAGTATCGGTGTCAAACACAGAAAACCTGGCGATATACGTACTTGATGGCGTGCAGATGTTTGGTGGTAAAGTGGGGGATGAGTCGATAGACGGTTTCCAATCCATGGTTTTCTCCAATTAGGTTTGCTGTAGAAACTGCAGAGAAAATGCCCCAGAAGGTAACCATGACAGAAATAATAGTGTAATGCTCATATTTAAATGATTTATATTCATCGAATCAGTTAATAATCAATGTTTACTGGTATTAAGCTGCTATTTGCTTTGGAGGGTTTTATGGACTCATATGGTTGTTGAAAGATATTTCTTCCTTAACTCGTTGCTCATGAAGTAAGGATGGAGATTCAAAGCACACACGGCTGGAAATGATTCATATTTTGCCACTGGGTTTTTAATACATCCAGTTTGTGTGTTTGTTTGGTTGCTGCTGACATCTAGTGGGTGAACACGACCCTGCTGTGGGGATCCGATGCTGGTGCAGGTTCTATTGACACCTCTTTCAATGTATCATACAGCATAACCAACAAGGACAGTGGAAGAGGAATGAGAGGAATGCATGCAGGGTTATAGTGAACTATAAATCACGTGAGGGTTTGGGCTCCTGTACTTGCTACATAGTGAGGAACAAGATGTCAACCACAGAGTGAGGACATTGTTCACAAATAAGGACACGTCACTTCTTCAGAGGCATTGAGACGTGTTTGGGTCAGATTGAACCTTGTGGTAGAACAGGTCTAGGGAACGTATTCCATTCAAAGACAGAAGTACAGACATGAGTGTGTCAATGTTCTGAGTTTTAGCCACCTTTTTGGAGGGCAGATATCAGATTAAAGATTTGTCAATTGGGGAAGGTTTCTCCAGTTGTGGACAAGAGCTGTGTCCCAATCTGGGAAAAGTCTTCGTGTCTACCTGATGAAGAAAATACTTGGATCACCCAGAGACAGGCAGCAGCCCTCCTGGCATATTTGATGTTTTGTCTGAGCAGATTGAGAGTCAGCAGCGCCGCTCCGGCATCCTCTGCCTTCACACCTATACGCCGATCTGCAGAGAGAGACATTCACTGTATTCATGAAGTCAAGATGAACGGCAGAGAATCAGGGGAGCATATCATGTATTTTAGGAGCTCAGTGTTGATCGATCTTCCACTTATTGATGTGAGTTGTGACAAAAACGTTTTCCAAATCCTATTGAGACACAAGTCCTCTAATCCTGGATATATTCTTCAAGCGATAATAGGTTGATATTGTAATTGTCTTTATGTCATCAGCACAGCCATATTTCTGTGTAGATTTCGTTGTTGCTGTGAATTATTGTTTTAGCAGGGTTTGTTTTATTTGCATGCTTTTGTAACCAACAATTTTACCAGGCGTATATTGGACACTATTTTAACCTGGTTAAAGTAGATTGCAGTCACTGGTCTCCTGCACCTGGAGAGGCTCATTTAAACCTACAGGTTATTCATTGTCGTTATAAGTTATAACCATGACTCAACACACGTAAGACAAGTAGCTCATGCCGTTCAAATTTTGCTTATAAATTCTCCCGCCTGCCGAAGAGCAACATCAGTTGTTGAACGGTGCGTGAAAAAGGAGATCTCATACCAGTACACCGCCCAGCCCTCTGAGCAGGGTAGAATAGGAGCAGGAAGCACGGACGTAAAGGAACGAGCACCAGGATAAGCAACCACAGATGAACGGGAGGCGTGGAAACGACGGGCGGTGGTGTCCATGAAGGTGGAGAGAGCCAGAGAACCAGCTGGACCCTGACGAAACCCCCCAGTTTTTTTACCTGGTGTCGAACTCTTAATAATTTTGTAATAGATCCTCTTTTTGCTGGACTTTTACCAATATGATTGCAGTCATTTCATAGTATGTTATTGGTTTGAGCTTAAATAAAAGCATTTTTCACCCTCTAAATGATGTCTTGGTGATCCATGCTGCTCTCCAGCGACACAGAAGAATCCGGTTTTATAGAGACTTGGACTCCCCAAACTAGGTGGCATTGTTAGCAGCTCTTCTATTCTATTTGTGAAAAATGAAAGTGGACCTAAATTATTGGATTTGAAATCCCCATATCACGGCGCTGACGTGTGTAGGGCCATTTAGACTTGACCTCTGAAGCATTGACTTTCATTTGTTCGTCCTTGGCCTAAAAAACAATTCAGTTGTATCTTTGTTTAATGGAAGACAATTTGGGCACATCCATTTGTTTATTTGTTCTTTTGTTAAACGCCTCAGTGGAGGAGATTATTTAATGATTTTACTGAAAAGGGGGAAGTTGAATAGTGGCCTATAATTTGTCATTGTTGCAGTCTAGCCTTTTTAGGGGTGGTTTGATAACTGCCCTTTAGGGGCCTCTGGGGAAAAGGTGGAGGGAATGGATGTGTATACAATTTGTCAAAAATCAGTGGTCATGCAGTTTGACATATTCTTGATAAAGGATGCTACTATAGCTACTAAGAGACAGGGGGACGACTTCAGTTGTTGTATGTCTTACAGACTTCCATGCTGATTGAATTAAATTGTGTCATGATATTTGAATGAATGAATATTATTTAGAGATGCAGACAGCACATGTGCTTGGTGTGGAGCCATTTACTTTTTTTTCAGAATTTTGTCACCGTAAAAAAGAAATGATTTCATGCCCAGGTGGAGCGGAGCTCAGTAGCTACCAACAGTGAAGGGTTTGATAGCCTGGCAACAGTAGAAATTAGGGACACTCCTATAAGAAACGCAATTCTGAGGTAACTTAAGTTTGGTCAAAGTGTTTCAAACATTTGGGTTTTATTCCATCATCAAAAACATTTTAGTCTTCATATTTTCATCCATCCTTACCTCTGTGTCCAATTTTAGCCAGAAGGTGCAGCAGCGGCAGCAGGAGATGGAAGTTGGGGCTGAAGCTGCGGCCGGTGTTCACCAGTGCAGTGAGCAAGGCCTCGCTGCAACCTTTGGTGATCATGTAGTGGATCCGACGATCTGTACCTGAACCAAGAGAGAATTCCACTCAAACAAAACAGCTGCAAAGAAAACTAATGCTTTGTTGTCCAGACGTTGTATTTAGAAAAAGGATACAGGCGGTTGTTTATCAGTGGTATTAAGACTGACACTGTTGTTATGGCTCCGTAAGCACATTGGATTGGAAATGAAACTTTCACTTTAGACATTGAGGCCTAGTGTTGACTTTCAGTTCTAACTCAAGGTTGTTTCTGTTCACAGCAGAGGGGTTTAGTTGGGGTGCAGGTAAAACCAAGCACTGTTCTATATGCAATATGTTTTTCCACCATTTTCTATTGTCAGAAAGCTGGTGAATGCCAGTCGAACATCGACTGTCTGAGACAGATAAAAGACTAACACACTGCTCATTTCTTAACGTCAATGGAGGGCTCAAAAACAGCACTGTCCTACACAACACTGCCATGTCAAATAAACTTGAGTGGTGGAAAATGCTGGCTAAGCTTACCAGCAGACAGAAGTTCATCCAGGACATTGAGGATATTTATAGTGCTCTCCACATCTCCCGCATTCTGCAGAGACCAAAATATCAAAACAGAAAATATACCATGAATGCAAAATACCAAACACATCAATTAAAAATGATGCCCAACCTTATTCTGCAGAAAGGCACATACATAAAGATTGAAAGTGACCCCGATGATGAGTATCTATCACGATGGGACGCTTCAGGCCTGTGTGAGTGTGAAGGCGCGAAAATAGATTCTTGGCCATTTCCCACAACAAACATATTCGTAAGAGGCTTTAGAGATAGGTTTTCATCCTCTGATTTATTGTACAAGTTGTCCTACCATGAGGGATTTCCCATACAAATGCTAAAATTGGTGTCCTTGACCGGAGGTGCACGGGTATATGTGACTGATTAAATTATGCTGCTCTGAAAGAAATCTGTTGGGTTGGCTAAACATCCCCTCATTAGAGTGTGTGTGTGTTGAATGAGGACGGCCTGCTGGGTGGCCAACTAGCTGCTTGTTTAAATAGGGACAAACAGTGCAGAGTTGTGTTGAGTTACTGTAATGAGAGACAGTTGGTAACTGCATCTGTGATTATGGAGCAAGTTATGTCAAAGATACCTATTGACCTCCTGTAGCACCCTGCTACCTACCCAACCTTTGGGTTTGCTTTGGCATGACGTCCTCACATGTGTATGTGAAAGCATCCAAATGGCGTATCGGGCTGGTTTCATCAAGCCATACCAGGAAAAGATCATTCAAAGACTTGATACCCCAGACATCTTTTTGCAACTCCCCATTCGTCATTCGTGTTGATTGCAGTAACTTTATATGCGTAATCAGGATTCAGTATTAACTTTGGGAAAGGAAGCTACAACCTATTCACCTCAATGATACATGAACATATGACTCAACTTATCTACCTCTTGTCTTTAAAGCTCATGTGTTCCAGTAACATTCAGCGCGTTCTTATTGTTCCATATCACCATCTCCAGTCGGGGTCACTGGTAGCTGTCCGTTTTAAGCTTCACGTTTTTACTTACATCGAGTATTTGTTTAACACAAGGGATGTTTTTTTATGAACTAAGAAGAGTATCTTTGAGATACACCAGGCTTAAACTCCAATTAAACCCATTTATATCACAGGCGGTTGCAGCAAATGTAGGGTGGTTACATAACGTAGGTGCTTAACTCGAGTTTTGTAACAAATAAATCTATTTCAACGTGCTTATTGTAACATGAATCATGATTTTTCCTAAAACAAATAAAGTGCTTTTGTTGTGTAGGTAAACGTTTAAATTAAATCTACGGTGGAAGTTTATTTTTTCAAGAGATACTAAGCATGTAACAAGTGGAAGTCCAACAGTTGGAAGCAGACGGTCACTGTCCGAGCATCAGTATTTGAAGAGTTTAGATTATGTTGGACCGACCGGAGAGCAGCTCCAGTATCACTCCTAAACTGCCATCATATAAAAAGTATTTGAGATGTACTATCTTTATTTTGTGCATGGGAGTATGTTGAGTTTGTGAGCGCGCTGGAAAATAGATCCTGGCTGTTGGCCGTTGGATTCATTACCAGATTTTATCGGCACTGGTGCTAAATCCTAAAACTATGAATGTGTAAAATAAATCAGTAGAAGGAGCTACGCCACAATGCTGTGAGTTTAACGTGATATTGGTAGATGTTTACTTTGTAGGGAACCTTTCTCCCTGCAACAGCATTTATATTTACAATGCATTATAATATGGTAAAAATATGAGGTGGAAAACAGATCCACAACGTGTGATGCAATTTTAGGACATTTCTGTCAAATCAGGGTCTGCTTCATCTGCCTTTATTTCTGTAGAAATCTGTACAAAGTGATTGAAACAAAACCCTTTGTCAGCTCATAAGGGACGGGGACTGGCGGGGAGGCGTCGGCACAATAAATGACAGCTGTCGATGCGTAACAATATTTTGTCGAGACCACATACGGTGCGGAGTGTGTAGTTGTTGATCTGGAGAAAGCAGAACATGGTGCTGGAGATTAAAACCAGACTTTGGGTTAATGTCTGGTTTTATTTTGTAGTTTCTTGCCTCTGTTCTCCCTGGTCATGTCACTTCCTGCCTTGTCCTGTCGTCCCCTGTGATTGTCTGTCATGTCATGATTGTTCCCAGCTGTGTCCAATCACCTGCACCTCCCTCGTGTATTTAAGCCGTGTGTGTCTGTTGTCACTTGTCGCGTCATTGTTCACTGTATGGAAGTCCCTGTCCCCGTCCCCGTCCTCTTTCTCTTTCTCGTTCCTGGTTCCTGTCTTCGTTTATTGCCCCTTGGCCTTTTGCTTTTGAAAACCTTCTTTACAATTAAAGTCCCTTTTCTTTTTGAAAACTCTGCGTCTGAGTCCTACCTTCCCCGCCATGCAGCTCCCTGACAAGACTTAACTGAACTTGGACCGATCTGAGGGAATGATTGTGCCTCGATGCACGATAAATAGCGATAATGATGATATAACAATGGGGACTATAGTTGCCCATTTCTGCTTATTGTATGAGGTGTGATATGCATGTACCCAACACCTGCATACATATAGCTTTAATACAACATCACGACATACAGCGAAGTGACCCCTGTCTATTGTCACTTGATGGTGGAGACACTGGAGGTGGTCAGGGGTGGGCAAGAGTGTCCTCTTTGTTGTTCAGATGTCCTCCTTTTGATGCTTAGACCTAACACACTACTTTTGTTCCCTCAACCTAACTTAAAGGAAAGGCCATATCCTTTGCAGATGGAAGTTTATATTGAAAAAAAGTACATATTGATCACAAAACTGAAGTGCGCTCTGCGATCTGGGAGCTGGTGAAGTCATTTACGTCCGCCATGACGTTGACTTCATACGCAGGAAGAGGGATTTGATATCACGCGCTTGTCAGCCAGTTTGTGTTTGATACACGGAAACGCTGTTAAACACTTCTAGCTAAATAGAGCAGGCTGAATATAAAATAATGGGTTAGAGAAATGATGCTGACGCTGTCTGTCAACAGTAATCAAACTTATTTCATCTGAATGTTCACTGAAGTGAATAATATTACATTCGGTCTACGGTACATTGCTGAAAATAGTTGTTGAGAATTCCAACTTTACGTATTCTTTGTGTTTTTAGCTTCTAGCCACAACTTCATTACATTTTAGAGTTTGCAGTCATTGATAACCAATGTAGTCAGGACACAGCTGAGCATCGGCTCCCTCAGCATCTCATTCATTCACATCGCTCATGACGTCCACCTTAATTGTCCGGGTGCAAAAGCTCGCATTGCCCCAAACTGATCAAACTGATCATTTGTGGGATTTCTGGTCTTTTTTCGCCGATCGCCACCGAGCTAAAAGCTAAAATGACAACTAACGGTCGCGCAAAATCTAACCGTTACTTTGAGTGCACATTGATACAGAACGCCCGGGTCAATGTACATTGTACTGTACATTATCGCTGAATTAGGCCACCCTGTGACTCACTCTCAACCAATCAGGACGCTGGATTTCATCTACCAGTAATATAATTGCTCATATAGCCTGAAGAATTTGTCTGATCAATGGGAACAACGCGTGTGTACGTACTCATTTCATGAAGCCGTCACTGGAAAATGCACGGTGGACACGTATGTTCCTCTCTATTGATTCAACGTTGTCATGACTCCTGGCATGTTCCAATCATATGATCACATGTAGCACTGATGAACGGTACTGCAGTCCCATTCAATGCTTCAGCATTTTTCAGCACAATGTATTTTTCCCTCACACACTGTGAACCATCAGCATGAATGTACTGGGGATTCATGGCTGATGCACATGGCGTACAGTGATGCCTGTGCTGCCTCATTTCACACTCTGACATCGACTCAAACACCTCGTGGCTTTATGACCTTTCATGTAAGAAAGAACCGGCGATCAGAATTCCTGTAGTGGTCAATATGTGCAAAGAGATGATGCCCTCATCTGTTGTGTAAAGCCGTTCCTACCTGCAGGGTGGAGAGGAGAACCTCTAAGCCGCTGGAGGAGCTCGGGGGGGCTGTCATACTCGGCCGGCTTCGCTCTGCAGCCAACAGACGGACACAAACAAACTGTTTAATGGACAGAAGAACAGACGGAAAGATGAACAAACTGTTATTTAAAGATGGATTGATTGTTCCTTTACCCTATGAACTAAACTGTTAAACCAACAGAAAGACACGAGAGACAAACAGACAGACGGAGACATAAACAGACAGATGGACGGACAGGCAGCAAGTTAACCGGCCGAAGGACGACAAATCAGACAGGTGGAGATCATTAATCCGGTGTGGACAGAGACGGAGCAAATCCAAAGTGCGTCCTCACCCCTCTGCACACTCAACGCATCTCTCTTACGTCTCTCCCCCGCAGAGAGGGGGAGGCACAGTGACATGGAGACTCCCCCTGACTTCACAATACTTCCCAGTGCCAGTGAGGGTGCGCGTGTGTGCCACTGTCCCGTGCAAGTATATTCACAGTTTGTACAGTTTGGGTTTGTGCGTATCTTCACTCTTTGTGTCATCAAATCGTCCACAAATTGAAAATCCCGATGGCTTCTTGTCGTAAAGTACAAGTGTCGTTGTTTTGCGTGGGACTTTGCTTGTGAATGTGAAAATTAATATTCGAATTTTTAATTTTTTTTTTTTAAATGTAAAAACGGCAGAGCGACCGTCTGCTTAGCAAGTGGGGCCTGACTGTATATGGCCAACTTCCACTGACTGGGAGTATTTAACTAGAGGGTGGACGAAGACTCGTCGCACAAAGACGAGTAGGAGGTCTGCGGTCTTGGCCGTTATTTTTGTGCAGGTAATATGTTGTTAAATAGGTTTAAACTTAAATAAATTACCTGTACAGGTAGTTATGTCTCGTCGTATTAATTTGTCCTGTTATTTACGCGTCTAATACGCAACCAGATATTCCAATATGTGTGTTTTTTAAAGGGAATATTCGAACGTCCTTTTTGAGTCATTCTGACAGCCCTAGCTTGCGATGCAGACCACTGTCTAAGAACATAGATAAGTGTGTTGGCAGCTGTGCGTAGGTGCGTGCGTGTGCACGTGTAACTCTATCCCTCCAGGATAAAGCGCTCCACAAAACATTTGTGCCGCAGTGTTGAGAAGGCCGCCACTATAAAAAGGACCTTGACAAGGCCGGCTTGGCAGCTGCAGGACACAAAATACAACCAATAAGGGTTCTGATGTCTGTACCACTGTGACGTGGCAACTGTCCACCTTAAACATTTGTACAAAACCTTGAGGCCAAAAGGGAAACATGGAGGAGGATCCGTTTCATGGGTGATCATGACACCAGAAGGGAGGAACATTATTTGTTGTCGGTCAATTCCGTGTCTCCAGTCCAGTTCTTCTCATTGGAGGTGGGGACAGGAGGTCTGGGACACCCGTCCCATGAAGCTAGATAGTAGTATAGGAATCAGGTTTGTTCTTCTACACTAATACCATTTGTCTTACAGTTGACGTTCCCTTATCTTGACAACTAATATAACTGGTGGTGTCTCCAATAGAATTAAGGAGTAAAAAGTCCTTTTATCTTGTATTTTAATGGTATGTTACCACTTTTAACCAGCTCTCACCAGAACATTCTTGTACTGGACGTCAACACATCACACAAGGCATTTAACAAAAACAGTTGGGCAGTTATTACACGTGAACAACAAATCCGACAATATTCAGAGCGGAAGCTGGCAATGGACGGCAGGAGGAGCCGACGCGGGAATCCGTTCTCCTTTGTGGTCCAAAGTCTCTTACAGTCCCAAACATCCATCTCCTGAGTCAGATAACTCAACAAGTCCACTTTGGTCTACTTCAGGGCAACCTAGCAACAACTCGTCTCAACAAGTGAATTCAAAGGCACAGCTAACAGTATGAAGCTAATGGCTAGTGTCCTTATGCTAATGGGACTCAACTTGTTTTACACGTTTAGTCACAGTATAGCAGGTATTTAGTATTTACCTCCTGTATCGTCAGCCCTTGAGATATGAACAGCATCGCTCTCCTACACTGTTCATGTTTCGCTGATAACATGACCTGACCCATACGCCTAAGCCCCGCCCTCTCCCCTACAATGGACATGGATTGGCTGCTAGTGTCAATTAAACCAATTAAACACAAACAAAACATATTATATTATATATAACGATATATTTTTTAAGTTAGATTGTTATGCCTGATGTCTAAATGCATTTTGTACCAGGTTACACGTATCTAAGGGCTGGTGAACTGCCATTGAGACGCCTCCAGATAGTTGATGTTGTCGTTGTCAGCCGTTAGTTGTAGTATCTGGGATATGGAGTAGTGACGTGGCTCTGGTAGTAAACCCAGGAAGCCTGAAGCGTACTCCGCTTTATGGGCCAACGTTCCAGCTGCATCGTTGTGAGAAAATGTGACGTTGAAGTAGACATATTTGTATTATTCAGGAACATGATATCAACCAAGTATTGCTCACAGCGCTCTACCTCGTGTTCATGTTACTGTTGAATTTAATGAAATTCCACCACCAGAGTGCGACATTGTCCCTGAAGTCAAGAAATACACTGTTATCTGTTCTATTATTCAATTACACAGATTCTGATAAACTATACAACTATATTATTGTTGGTTCATCTGCTGTGGCATCGCAGTGTGGAGACAAACTCAAAACTATCAGTCCCCTCATCAGCACGCAGAGACAGAGAGAGAGGACACAGTGGACAGCAGGTCAGGCTGAAGGACACTCTGATTATACCCATCCTTAATCCGAACCTTCAGCCAGTGAGCTCATGGACAGCTTTTCAGTCCACATGAACTTTACAGTGTGCTCTTCTCATAAGGTCACACACACACACAAGCATCAAACACACCCACTCAAACAGAACAATGTCCTTCCCTGGAGGACGGATAGACACTAATCTGCGTGTGGAATTATACACACACTTCCCCGGCTCAGCACATCGACACACACTGACGCAGTTCCAGTTTCCTCAATGTGAGGAAAGACCCGGCTTCTTGCTTCAGCTGTTTCGTTGAGCTATTTCCCTGATGCCTTCGGGACCTCTGCTGCTATTTCAGACCTAAACAAGGTTCCTTCTCTCAGGGAGTCCTTGGTTTAAAGTGCAATGATGTAGACTAACTTTGACATGTAGCACCTGCAGCATCTGTATGAGCATGTGACCAACAAGGTGATGACTAAATCCTACCAAGCAAAGTTTAGCGCTTTACTTTTTTTGAAAGTAGATACTGGCACTGTTAAGCGGAGGCTGCTGAGTGTACAGATAGTTCAGATAATTTAAGTACAGTAACACACTGCCGTGATAATATAAAACATCTCTTTATAGGAGACCTGTCCAGGCTGAAGGTACGAAGCCTCGGAAAGTGAAAAAAGTATTCGCAGGTCAACAAAGAGGTTCGTAACACAACATTCAATACAATATAAATGTGTATACGTATATATTTAAATATATAGTATAAGGACACAGTTTTCTTTATGGGATGTTCCTGCTTTAAAATATATTCATGTAAACTGCACGAATAGAGTCTAAGAGATGTCACGATCGGGTCGGCAGAGGCAGGACTCAAACGCAGAGTGTTGAAAACAAAAGGTCATTCTAAAAAATCCAAAAACACCAGGAGGGAAAAAACGCAGACACGAACCAGGACCTCACAGGCAAGACATTCACGAGCACAAAGGACATTCAAGACCGACCATTCAATGATGCAACAAGAGACACACACGGCTTAAAGACACTGGGAAGGTGCAGCTGATTGGACACAGGGGGAAACAATCAGACAGACAATCACAGGGGACGACAGGACAAGGCAGGAAGTGAAGTTAACCCAGGGACACAAGAGGCAGGAAACTACAAAATAAAGCGGGACGGGAACCCAAACCGTGACAGTCCCCTTCATGCTTCAGACCCTGTTATTAAAAGGGTTGGTTTCCCTGCGTGACACTGAAGGGGTTCCTGAGGGGTCACGGTAAAACAAGCCCCCAGCTGTTGTGGACCTCTGTATAGAGTGTCTCTGCTTCCCGTCAGTCACCACCATCGAGCGTTGCTTTAAAGATCATCATTTACTTTTTTTAACTCGACACAAATTGCATTCCGGTTCCTTTACGGCTGCTCAACAGGAATAAGAACACTTATTTTATTCTTTTTATCAAAATCCAATAATTGTGTAACTGCAGCAGTGTAGTTGCCATAGACACCTGGAGAAAGTATTCTTTATAATGGAACCTCATTAGTTGTTGACTTGGGCGCTCTCCCCGTCGTCTACAGCAGAATGGGAAACCTTTCAACCTTCTGTTACTGATTCGACGTGCAGGCCGAGGTTTGACCGCAGGGTAAAAGTGGACCGTTTGTTTCACGCTTGAAATGTGTATCTCAGTTGTCGGCAAAACCAGCTTTGTCCGTCAACGGTCTGGATCTCAATGAGACCTCAATGTGTCTTGACTGCATCTTGCCAGTGCTTGGACCTGCCCATTTGGGATTGGATCCCCCAATGTTAATGCCAGGTGTTCATTTGTGTTCATTGTTGGATGTTTGCGGTAAATTTGTCAAAGATGCAGAGTTGAATATAACCAGTGAATACTGGTTGGAACACCATATCTACAATTGGTAGTAGTGAAGTAGAGACCCTGTATATAGTGCATTGGTAGTGGCAGTGACTCTAAAATGGACCACAACATACAAAATGAATATCATGCCACGATGAAGAAGACTTGAAACTAGCGATTGAGACTATAAATCTATGTTCACAATGTTTACTGAAGTAATAAATCCAGTGAGAAGACTTCTTTTTGCAACCCTCCGCTGCTCAGTTGACAGGATACGTGCTTTAAGTTGTTGATTTCCTTCAAAAAGCCTCATTCTTCAAAGCATTCAGTGTACTATTAATACCAATAGATTATATGGGAGCCCATTGTGGGGACACGAGTAAAAGATCCACCAGTGAGGACCACGTGCGCACAGAAGGTAATAGATCAGTCGAGTTACAATGTCCACCTGTGTCACTCGTCTTTGTTGATATGGTGAACTCGGCCGTAATCATTTGACTGTTTCCACCTACTGAATAGCATCAGGCAATAAACATAATCCTTACAGTCCAATATTCTTTTAGCTCCACCAACTCCTGAGGAATGTTGTCTGCTAAATGTTCTACTGTATCTGTCCAGCTGGTCTCTAACCTGCCCAATGCCTGTAACGCCTGCTGCAGCATGACTCTATGGCACCTCGCAATAATGAACTCAACTGGCTCTGCTGCTCCATCACGCTGTCGGGAGCTGTGGATCAAGGTGATAATTCTCTGTAGCTTCATCCCTATAAACAGCCCACTTTTCATTTAGCTATTCAGTGCATTGGCATCATAAAAATGTTGTTTATAGCCGCTTTAAAGGCTTCTGTTGGAGCGTAAGACGTTTGCCTGGCGTTATGCATCGTCCTCACAATGGATTCACACTTTTCCACCGCACACCAACAAATGCTACCAACAGCAGGTTAAAAGAAGACTGCACGCTAATAAAAATGTTTTACGAGGTATGTTGATACAGAGGATACATCTAAAGGTGGAAAGGCCAGCTTGGGTTGACTGCTGCGTCCTATTACAGATTATACTAAACACTAAGGATTTAACAGAATGTTAAAGGTCACAAAAAGAGAACTTTGAAAACCAATGACCTTGTGAGGCTTTGGCAACAGCTTCTTTCTTGTGTCTCTGGCTGCAGACGACGCCAAGCGGAAAGGGAACAAGGAAACATGCAAAGTGCTGAAGTGCTGATGTAATGGATTCTCTTTTACATTTTAGACCGAGAACACCAAAGTGATCCTCCAGTGTGACTCGTCTCATATTCATATTAGTAAATACTTCTGGTTTAGTATCGGTTTACAGTTGGCACTCAGTCTGTTTGGCAGAATTTCACATCTTTTAACATTTTTGAAGAAACATTTATTGCAAGCACATAAGTGAAACGTATGTTGCTCTGAGTGTGCAAAGGAGGATAAACATCAGAAGAAACTGTCTCTGGTAGTTAACAAGCGGATGACCGGGGGCCAAAGTGAGAAAGAAGCTGAAACAAGATGTGCTCTACTTCTCAGAGGTCTGCTTATAGCAGCTTAACGTGATACAGCAGTTAAGCAATGGCGCCAAACCTAAACCCCTTCTGACACACAACTTGTACTGTACATAACATGTGCTGCATGAATACACAGTGGAAACAGCCACGTAACCAAAAGACAGTAAACCGTCACAAATGTGAACGTCCAGCAATCAGAAGTTCTAGAAACGCCCCGTAATTCAAATACTGAAAACCAAACCAGTATTTAGCAGAAATGTTGTACACAGTGTTGCTCCTTGCAAAACATGCAGACATGGGAAATACAGACTAAAAAAAGTTGGGCACAGCTCAAAGGCTCTATCCCTCTGTCTCATTTTGAAGCCAGACTTTGGTCATTGCAGCGTCGCCATCTTGGATTATGATCGCTGCCTTGTCGTCGTTTTTTTTGCAATTTCCTTATTTGGAATGCGGCGGAGTGACAGAATGTGGGCCGGAAGCATCCCTGCTTTGTGGTCTACATCACTCCAAATGGACCAGCATTTACTAAATGGAAAGGAAAGGTGGGATAGCAGCGCTACACTGTACTTTACATTTGTCTTTTTCTACTGGAGAAAAGTCACTGTCCTTTCACGTCCTGCACCAATGTAATGTTTCCATTATTGGATTAAATGAAAAATTGTGTGTTCATTGTTATGCACCAGACAAGTGGTGACGGGACCAACAGCCATGGGTTTTCGTTCTGAGGCTCTTACACACACACACACACACACACACACACACACACACACCCTGACTTACTCTAGATCTGTGCCCCCTCTCATAACTCTTCTAAAATAGCCTTTTTTTTAATTCTTCACATCTTGTCACTCACGGCAGCAACATGTTTGAGTGATGATGATTCCATTACAAAGATGACTCATGTTAAAGGCTTCTGTAGCTCCAAACAGCAAAAACACAATTAGTACTTGTGTTTCTCTTTATTATTTCACATAAAAGACAATGAATCCTCAAAGGATCCTTCAACTGCTGCCGCCCAGTGGAGTGTCTGACTGTGTCTGACTGACCCTGATGTTTGGAAGCACACAGAGACAGAATGAACCCAGTCGCTGCCTACCTGTGAAGCAGGGCGGCCGGCGGCCCTCCAGCTCTCTTAGGGTTCCATTCCAGGTGAAGTTACTTCGGCCGTAACCAAACATTATGGAGCGTTCTTGTTCGGCTCCAGGTTTGTTTGTCTATTATTAGAGGGAACCCCGGGGCCAACTGGAGGGAGAGTTTGTGGGAGCAGCACTTATGAGCACCTGGCCTGCCTTTAAAGAAATGCCCATGTGCCTTTTACCAGCCCATTGGTCGGGAGCCCAAATGTCAAAGAGCCCTGCGGTGGGAGTTTGTGTGCCAGAGTGAAGGTGGGGTGAACTTATAGCTCCTGCCAATGCGTGGCTGGTGGACATTGAACGGAGCGCTGCGTGTCCTTGTAAATCAAGAGGCTCTGCTGTTCCTTCAAGAAAGAACAAACGTGGTCCTGGTTTCTGAGGCAATGTGCGCGTGTTTATTTCTGCTTGAAAGAAAAAACAAGTGTCAACGCGGCGTTTCCTTTTATCTCAAGCTGGCTTTTGAATGGAATCCACGACCTGACCTGCCAGATGGTTTGTGACGCGGACACGTCTGAGAAGCTGACAAGTTGGAACGCTTTCTGGAAAAAGGCAAGCAGAGAATAGCGGTTACAGGGAGAAGAACCTTTAGCAGCGTTCAGTTCTGATACAACCAACAAGACGGCGACATCTACACCGAGCTCTCATTGGGAAGGAAACATTCGCTCTCTTTGGAATCGTCTTCGGTCTTAGAAGCCAAATAGATGATTCAATTCAAATCAAAAACCCTAAAACCAGAAGCCAATGCGTCACAGAGTTAAACGTTTAAACTGGAAAAAAGGCACTTCATTCACTGACAACAGCGTTCACCAGAACCTCCCTGGGGGCTGTTTGTGGCTGCCACCCCCCCCCTGCTAACAAGGCTGCAATATATACACATTCTGGCTCTCACACACACACGGGGGGGGTCCTCGCTGCCATACAAGCCAGTAGCTATGCAGGGAACTTAAATCCTTCTCACTCTATACATGAGGACAATACTGTGACACCGACACGTCTGCAGCTCGGACGAATGCTGATCCGTTTCCTCTCGCTGCCACTGACGGTTGATTTATCAGAGAGATACGCTGACAAATAGTGAGCATCTCTGCGCACTGACTGACAGCTCGTTTTGCATCCATAAGAGCGTCATTTCAAGGCCTTTTGAAATGTGAAGGAATTCGTGTCACTATGTACAGCTGTGGAGAAAGGAGGGGTGGGGGGGGGGTGACCACAGGACCTGGAACTAGGAGCATGAGGATAAAGACAAGTGTCCAGAAGGTTCGTTTTGTAAATGGCGTCTGTCCATGTTTCCACATTGTGCGCTGGTTGCACATCCTGTACAGCCGACACACAAACATGAGTGTGTGATACTATGATAATAACCTCTGCAGAGGATTTCAGCTTTACAAGCGGTATCAAGTCACCCCAGCGTGTGCAGTCAGCCCGTGTTCCCAATGTGTGTGTCTGTGGCGCACGGATTCCACATGTAACCAAAACCTCCCGGCGATCTGTCACCATGCTGCTTCTGCACAGATCTGAAGCCGGCGTCCTGACGGCGCATCTGGGCTTTGATCAACGTCCTCTTGCACAACTCTGCAGAGTCTATTTACAGAAAATCTACCTGACTACACTGTTACAGGTTAATCAATAAACGCACAGCACACTGACAAGGTCGAGACATATTTCACTCCACAACTAATGAAAATAAAGCCCTGACAGTTGGAATTGAGATGCTACTTACCGATTGTTCCCAAACAAGAACCTGGAGTGCTTCTGTTCCAGGCCGCCTGTGTTGTTGACCCCATTTTTTATTTCCAAAGTGTCCAAATATTGAACTTAGTAGAAGCAGTCGGTAACACAACCCCGTTCCCGGCGGATTCTTACAGGTTTATTCCACAATAAGAAATTTAACCTGCGCTGCTTGTTCGTGTCTCCACCGACCAACGCGTCTCCGTCTCTGCTGCTCATCTTCAGCAGGAGGACATTGTTAGCAAACAGGATTCAGCTGCACAGTTTAGTTCACAGTTCACATTTCATAGGAAACTCTCGTTGTCCCACATTTGTATGATGTGATGAGCATACAGATTAAATTAAATAAACTTTGTCTTCTATTCAATTTCTGGAATTTGTCTGGTCAATCAAGCATAGAGTTTGTGTTTCATTTGTTTTATAGTTTTCTAAAAAACTTTGTTTTCGAAGTTTGAAAATAGTATCACTGACAATAAATGGAAACTTACTCTTAAAACATCTGATTGCTTTGCTTTTATTCCTCCTGCACCCCAATGGGTCGTAAACAATTAGTGATACACAGTTTGATGACAGTGTATCCACACAATCTAACAGGAAAAGCTCTAAAATAAAATGTACATGCCTGTGTATTTCATGCTTTCATTTAATCACAAAGTTGCCTCAGAGCGATTTACAGTCTGTATACACAGAAAAAACTCGTCCCAAAGAAAAAGCCTTCAACGGGCTCCTTGGTACCTTAATGGTTCGCTTACCGCCTGTAACCACCGATGTAATGTCTATTATATGGTCACTCTTATATATGCACCTGGACTACATGTCATTGTGCTGCATAAATGTATTCACTCTGTATCAGCAACTCACCATCTTGAGCCACAATAACTGCTATAGTTCCCCAAATGTTGCCTTTAAGTTCCCACTATGTCCTACGCGCTGAGACCAGCATGTGGTTGCATGACTCTTTGGACGGATCATTGAAGTTCCTGAAGATCTCGTGTGAGCAAAAGTCATCATTTTAGTGGCTGTTTTTTTTGCAGTTTTGCAAATCTTTCTGGATTGCTGACCAAGCAAACAGCAAAGAAAATCTTTTCAGTTTACTTTACTGTGTGATACATATCAATGTATCATTACGGGTATACTTTGTCACTTGATTGCAATAAGTTAAAAGCTTTCTATCCTTACATGGGCGTCCACTGTCTTGGAAGCCCAGATTTAGCGGCCGCATCATAACGGGGTTTGATCTCCGTGTCCACCACGGCCACACGAGTTGCTGAGTGTGACACTAGTGAGACGCACAGCAGGATTTTCACTTCATGTGTATTTGTAGCTACAAAAAAACAGGTGTGAGCGGCAGCAGGAGCAGCGTGCGGGGGTCCACAAACCCCCGCTCATCTCAGCCGGTGACCCTTGTTTCTTTCTTTGGGAATACATCATCTTGAGTGGATAAACTCTCCCTACAGACAGACATATGTTTGATATCTGACATTTTTACATTCTTAACAAGGACACCATATGAATTCACTGGCAGAGGGTTTGGAAAGTCATTACATCTCATTACTTCTCTTGACATGTACAATTGTTTTGATGAGCATTTGAAATCCTTTGGCTTTCTGACTTGTCCTGCCATGCGTCTCTGAACCCCTGTCCTGATATTGCTATGAATGGTGGTCTTCCATTAAGATTTTTCTCATGTACTCGGTAGATAATACATAAAGCAACAAAAGGCAAGTGGACCCAATCTCATTGATCCCTGCTTTTTAAAATCCAAAACAGTTTTATCTTTCTAAAACAGACAGACTTGACTTGAGAGAGAGAGACGCATCAGAAAGACGATATATATACGTCTTTGCACTGTTCTGAACTTCCATTTCAATCTTTGAAGTAAATTTACTTGAAAATATTTTTACAAAATGTAATAACTGTGGAAAGTTAAATGTAATTATTAATAAAAACACATTTTTTCATTGAGTTTATATATTATAATGCGATTAATTCGAAACAAAGAAGGAATGAGCCTCTTTTGTTTTGGGGGGAAGTTAATGTGAATCACAGCTTTGCAGATGTCAGTGATGTTTCTATTCCTGCTGCAAACGGACTTAAATGCAAGACAATTGAGAGCAGGTGAATGTTCACAATCAGGGTGAAATCTTCTTTCTATATATGAGTCATTTCATATGTCCATCATATCGCAATACCACATTTTTTCTAGTAGCCTACTTTAATAAATAAGTGGCCAATATGAAATAACCACAAGGTGTTTTTGTTTACTATGAGTTGTCTCATTGTATAAATAACTGTAGTGCAAAATGAGCATAGAGATCAATGAGTGGTAATGTTAAAACCAAACTGCAATCTTCAAAGAATTCAGATAAATGTAAATTTGTATCACCCCATCTCACTATGTATAATTTCATCGCAATACAATGTTCCTTTATTAAGTTACCATATTGAATTACTCAACTCCAATGTACATTGTGCTAGTTTGTGATTTCCCTTCTAGATAACAGCTGCAACGATGCAAAGAAACACAAAGGAAACTTTCCAGAGAACTCGGATTTAGCTGAAGGTACATTTTTGCTGCCATAGCGTTTATTGAAAAAGGTATTCACAAGCGTGGCGGTTATTGTAGCCAGTGACGGAGAGAGTCATACTGAGACATACTTGCCATCTCCGAGGCTTAACAGAACATCATCTTGGTATGTGAGCCGTGTTCCGGACGTCTCTCACGTGTCCAACGGCTCACAGTTGGACCACACAGGTAAACGTCTGAAAGGGTTTATCCCAAATTTAAATGAATCGCATTTAAGTTTGAGGGTAGAACCAGAGATGACTGGCGTTGGATTCAAAGGGAGACCTTCCCAAAAAAATACCAAAATTCATCAACTTGTGTCTCTAAGATGTCCGATACTTATTGACGCTTGGAAGAAGTCTAAAGTTACCCAGCAGCAAAAGAAAGTCTTTCCAGTGATCCTAGTTGAGGTTAACTGGTAGTTTTTCCCCCAAAGCACAATGCGTCACTCAAGGTTGGAGACCTTTCTTGTGCTACATATTAGTTTTAATACATATGATGTCTTGTGAGAGTAACATGTCTCAAAGCAGCAATTGACTGCAAATGAAGATATTCACATGAGGTTTTCATGTCTGTGTTTTCCTTTGTAAGCATTTATAAAAAAAACATGTTTAGTCAGCTGAGCAGGTGAAGCCAAAACTAACTTATAGTTCTTCCTCACTCATTAAACTTGTTCTCCTTGCACTCTTATATTAGCGCAGTTCATTGCCAAGAGGACACATCGATAGTACTTGAAATAGCTTTTGGTGTAAGTCAACCCTCAGTAAAAATACCCCTGCTTCATCACTTGAATTGGATCAATTTCAAGTGGGTCGGATAAAACAATGTGTGGGCCGACTTTGGTGACTGTCAGGAAGTATGTGTAGTGAACATGTACCGTTTTAGTTTTAATTGCATTAATGAAATTACTTTGTTAATTTTGTGCATTTTTATTTATTTTATACAAATTTACCAACAAATAA